ATGTACCTCACTAGTTTGTCACCATCATTTTTCAACTTCAATACCCATTTATTCTTTAACGATCTCCTCTCTTTTGAAAGTTTAACAAGATCATATAGACTATTTTTTCACAATGATTTCATCTTTTTTTATTACTTTTAATCAGTACTCTCTATTCGGAATAGTCTGCACATCTTGAAAGCTCTTTGGCTCTCCCTTACTAGTAATTAAAATAAAATCTGAACTTGGATACCTGGTAGATGGTTTATGCTCTCTAGTAGATCTTTTAGACTAAGACTTTACATAATCTGATGTCAAAGGTAGCTCCTCCTGCTCAACATTCTTTGGTGAAGAGAACTACTCACCATACTTAACACTTTTAGGTAGAAAAGATTGCTTTTTCTACTCAAAACTAATTGCATCTAGCTTATCACTAACTGTAGCTGGCTTATTCACATCCTCAAAATTTGTTTCTTGCTCATTTTCACCATCTATGGCTCTTTCTTGTAGAACTCCTATCGATATTGAAACATCACACTTAACAGTAATCCGTATAGTTTTTTTTTTTTTTAGGTATGTTATGGTTTTCTTTTCATAAAAGATTACATCTTTACTGTTAACTATCTTTCTCTTCATTGAATCTCATACTCTGTAGTTAAATTTTTCATCATTATTTTTACAAACACACACTATGTGATTTTATTGTCAAGCTTTGACCTCTACTTTTTTTATACATGCATAAATGTTTTACATTCAAAACTTTTCAAGTGAACTATGAAGTATCTTTTTTTGTCCACACTCTTTTTGAAATGACAAAGCCCAAAAAAACTTATGGTGATCTGTTAAGCAAATAACAAGATATGTTGACTGCTTCACCTCAGAATGGCTTTGATAATTTTGCCATTCTCAATATAAATTTAACTTTTTTCATAATGGTGCAATTCATCCTTTCAGTTATACCATTATGTTATGATATTTCGGGTTCTATCATCTCATGCCTGGTCCCATGCTTTGAACAGTACTTTTCAAAGTCTTTGGATGTGTATTCTCCATCATTATTAGTTTGAATACACTTCAAAGATAGCCCTGTCATCATTTCCATCATGGCATGAAATTTTTAAAAATGCTGCAATACTTGACATTTTTTTTTCAACATATACACCAAAGTCTTACGTGAATCATCATCAATAAAAGTAATAAAATACCTATTACCATCCAATGACTTAGTTTTAATAGGACCACATACATTAAAATGAAACAATTCCAATTTATTTTTTTCTCTAAGAACTCTTAAGAAAAGAAACTCTATGATTCTTGTCAAACAAATAATGATTAAATGAATTGAAAGATATACCTTTGATTAAGAGAATGAGAGACTGCCTTATCAAAACCTGTAACCCCTTCTTGCTCATGTGTGTCAGCTTCTTATGTCACAAGTTTTTTGAAGCATCATCCTCAATGGCATTTATCTGGCTACCATTCAATTACATTCATGTCTTATACATTATGTAGCATAGTTTTCTCTTTGTAACTACCATAGATCCTTTGAGAAGTTTTCACTGCCCATTCTTTTATCAACTCTTATATCCTTCCTTATCAAAGACATTAATAGCAAGCAAGTTTATTCTCATATCAAGAATATGTCTGACATCTCTCAAAGTCAACATGCAGCCCATATTAGTTTATATAATAATATCATCAATTTCTAACAATCTGTGAGACATTATTATTTCCCATCTTAGTGCAATCAAAGTTTCTTGTTTTGTAAGTTGTAAACAACTCTTTTTTAGATATACATTGATATGACATTCCTATGTCAACTATCCATTCAATGCTGAAATCACCAACATGATTACAATTACCACGTGTACAAATCAAAGTAATTGAATCACTACCTGAATTTATTGCTACAATATTGTCATCATCTAAACTTTTATCTTTCTCATCTTTTTTTTTGCTTCAAGATTTTGTAGTATCGTTTTATATGACCTACTTTACTACAATGAAAGTATTTTTCTTTATCTCTGGACTTGGATCTATGTTTAGACTTACTATAACTTTTTAAGTTTTGACCTTTGCGATGTTTCTACGCCTATTCTCTGTGACCAAAGCTTGATTCTCAAGGTTTAAATTTTTTCATCTTGCTTTTTCATTAAGCATACTGTCATTTACCATCTCTAATGTCACATTGTAATCAGAAACTGAATTAAGAACAATCACAACTAGAATATTTCAACTGTTTGGCAATGAACCCAAAAGAAATAACGCCTTTATTTCATCACCCATCTTAATCTCTATAGTAGTCATCCGATTAAATATATATTGAAAATCACTTAAGTACTCTGTAATCGATCATCTATCTTTTTACTGTAAAGTTGCAAGCTTTTTAACAAGCATAACTTTATTCATATTTATTTTTCTCTCATACAATGCTGATAATTTTTTCAAAATGGTGTGGGCATTTGCCTTCTGCACTACATGATAACATACGCTGATATCAAACCATTTTTTGATTATAGTCAGTGTTTTTCTGCCTAACTTCTTTAAGCTTTTAACTTTCATATATGCTGGTTTAGTTAAATCACCCAATATCGACTCATACAAATCTTTACAGTATAAAAAATCTTTCATCATAGGCTTTTAAATTGAATAATTTGATACTATCAATTTTATCATAAAACTTGTATCACCTTTCATCTTAAATAAAATTTACTTCTGTCTTGAGCTGCTTCTGTATCAATGTCTTAAAATAACCATAATTTTAATACTACTTATTGAGCCTGAAGCAATAAACATAACAACGTAAAAATAATATATCACAATAAACCTATAGTAATAGACAACAATCAATAATCAACAACACAAAAAAAATAAAGCACACCAAGATTTATGTGAAAAATCCTCCAATGTAGAGGAAAAAAACTACAAACCAATCAAAAAAATCTTCGGTATCAAATAATAGATACACAAAGTTCTTCTCTAGCTAAAACTAGAGTTAATCAACAACTAAAAAGATAATTTGAGATATCTTACTAAATAGGTGACTCAATAAATACACTCTAAATTTGTTCCTAGACAGCTTCAAACCTAACTTCACCATTCAAAATGTAGAACTTTAAATCATAAACTTACTAACAAAATTTCAGCTTAATTGGACCATAGATCGATTTTCGTTCAACCAACTGTCCCGTCTCCATTTTCTCTCTATTTTTCTTGGCTTTTCTTCGTTTTCTTGGTTTCGACACCACCACATTCTGTTTCTCTAAATCATAAACTGGCTGATAAAATTTTAACTTAATTAGATCATGGATCGACTTTCGTTCAATCAACTCTCTCGTCTTCATTTTCTTTTTATTTTTCTTAGCTTTTCTTCTTTTTCTTGGTTTCGACGCCACCACATTCTGTGTTTCTCTATTACACAGCCTCCTTTTTATTGTTTAAGGCTTTATATAAGTAGGGCTTCCTTAAGTTGAAGAAAAAAAAACTTTAAGCATTTTAATTGGCTAAAACCAATGGGGTTGGACCTTACTCTTCCTAATAGTTTGATGATTGGGATGAGTGTGGAACAGGGATTGTAAACCCCAATAATGTCATCCAAAGCTTGCAAAAAATGCTGCAGTGAATCAAAATGGAAGGGTAAGTGGGGTTTGTGAAATATATAGGTGAGTAATGGACTAATGGGCAATGGTTGATGAACTACACTACTAGTGCTTAATAAATTGATTCAATCTTGTCGTTTAGAACTATCTTTTTCAACCGGATTTTGGGACCAGAAACCAGTTGCTTCTATTTGGAACTTTCTTTATACACCTTCCCTCCCGTGAAAATCCGGTAATTAAACTGATAATATCATGGAACAAGAGACAAATCTCTTTTTCCTGGATAAGGGTAGGTAGGGATGGCCAAATCAGAATTTTTTAAATGCTTCTGATATTGTTTCTCAACTGGACTTTTGCTTTCCTTTTTTTTTTTTTTTTTCATCTTCTTTTTAAACGAGTTTAAGTTTGATCTGTGTATATCAACTCAGAGCCTTATGAAACTGCACAAAAATTAGATGAAATGACAGAATACACCTTTAAAAATAATCTTCTATACCATTCATAAAAGGTATACTTTTTCTTTTAATTTATTTTATTATTGGAATTTAAAGCTGTTTTCTAGAATTGGGTATGTAGAAAAAATGAGTTTGGTATTTATCACAATAATAATAATACTCAACCTAATATTTAAGATTTATACGAGACGGTGGGACCATTAATATATTCATAGTATTAGTTTCATGGTTTTGGGCAAAATAGTTTTCCACGTCTGACATTGGACCTCCTAACAACCCTTTACAATACAATGCAATTCAGTTGAGCATTAAAAGTTTCAAGCCTTAATCTTTTATTTATTTATTTAATTGAAGTGAGCATTGAAGTTACTTGTATTTGAATCCAAATCTGACTTGCCATAAATTGTCCTTTAATCAATCAATCGATCAAAACTTTATTGGCAATTACTTATTTATTTATTGTCTGAATTAATTTTGATATGTTAAGAAACAAACACTACGTTTAAATCTATTTTACCCATACAAAAATACAAAATATAGTTCTATTTTTTTTTTGTTAGTTTTGTGAGTCCGGTTGAATTCGAAATTTTTTTATCTTAAAATCAACTTTAATATCATTAAATTAACTAAATTAAATAGTTTAATTTTTAGTACTTTTTTTTCATTATTTTTCGTTTTGCCTTCCCTATTCTCACAATAGGTGGCAAATTTTCTTTTTAATTTAATTAACGGGTAATTATAATATAAATTAAAGATAATTAAAATATTTTAATGCATTTTTCTAAAAAAATAATGTATTAATTACAGTTTTTTTTTTCTGTAATTGTCAGATTAACCCGCGCGTACTGATTAATATAAGAAAATCTAAAATTCTATGCCCTTTCCTTTTTCTACTCCTTTAAGTTCCAAGATAACCGTCCCATGCACTCATAAAAAACCAACAAAAAAAAAAAAAGACAGTCTGAGGGGATTGGAATTTGGGAATTGGAATGCGAGAGAATCCAAAAGAAGAGGAAAATCATGGGCATCTGAGGCTGAGGCTGAGGGCTGAGCTGATATAATTCCACTTTCCATGAACTCCACTCTCTAGAAGTAGACAGAAAAACAACACTTCCCCAGCTCCCATCCTCTCCACAACGCCACCTCATCAGTTATCCCTTTTCCGTAACTTTTTTTTTCTTTTGAAAATTTCCTATAAAACAACGAAGCAGTACACTTTCGAAACCAAGAATACACAAGTAGTTGATCCTCAACGCGTCTCCTTCTCCGTCCCTCTCTCTCTCCAAAAAAAAAAACCCTGCGTTTGCTTTTGCCCTTGCTCGCTCTCATTTCCTTTTGTATTTTGGTTTTTTCGTAACGATAATATAACTTTTCAGTTCCTCCAACGTCAATCAGCTCTTTCTTCCTTTAACTGCTTTCATTCTCATATCTCTCTCTGTTGTAACTTATCTTTGGGTTGTTCTCAAAGTTTTAATATCTTAATATGTAAATAAAACAAAAATCTCTTTGTGATTGTGAAAAAGAAAAAGAAAGAGAGAGTGGTATTCTGTCTTTTCTTCTATTTTCATGAACATGGCGGTTGAATATCAGGAGGTAATTAGCCTTAGTAATGGGTTTTTCTTCCTCTGTATTTATTTTCATGCTTGTTACTGTTTTTTTTTTTTTCTTTTTAAGAATGTGGAGATTGAGTTAAACGTTCATGATTGTGGGTTGAATGTGAGGGTGTAGGAGCATATAAGGAATTCAAGAGGAGCTTTGCTTTTTACTTGCAGATGGTTGCCTTTCTCTTCTCCGAAGGCTCTTGTTTTCCTTTGTCATGGTACCCCTCTCTCTTTCTCTCTTCAATAATTACTCAGTTTATTACTTAGCAAAAAGCAAAAAAAAAAAAAAAAAGGTTAGTTGGGTCATGGGTGTAAAATATTTAATTCATTAATGTGGTTGCAGGATATGGTGTGGAGTGCAGTGGATTCATGAGAGGTAATAAATACTCTTTAACGGCCGATTACCCTTTTTTAAAACTCTTTTTCGTCAGTATTTGTCACTCTTTTTCCGTTCAAGAATTTCCTTTATTTTTTGTTTTTTTTTTTTTTTAAATTTTGCTATTTAATATCTGAATATACTCTTTAAAGTTATTATTATTGTATTAAATAATATTTTCTTTGATTAAATTAAAAATTAATTATTAATTATCAACTACTAAAATTAATAAAAAATATTAATTAACTTTAAAAAATTCTTAAACCACTCACTAACAATTTTTTTTTTCAAATAATATCAAAATTCCAACACTTAAATATCGTTGCTGAAGTAAAGCCTTTTTTCTTGCATGTTGCCATAGGCTATGCCATCAAACTCAAAACAATAATTTTCCAAACTCGGTAGCTTCAAAATGGTTTTCACATTTCATTAGGAATCCAGGACGGATTTACGTATAGGATTGTGGGGTAGCTGTCTCGTTGAAATATTAAAATGCTTTAGATTAATTATGAAAAAATCTTATAAATTTTAGAAATTTCAAGCTTTGCCCTTATTAAAAAAAATTTTCATCATATTTGCCTTCATTAAATTGAAGATCACGAAAGAAAATTTTTTATTGTTTATCTAGTAATTGAACATTTATACTTTGAGTGATAAGCAATTTCATTATAATATATACATGAATTTTAAAGAAAAACAAATAAAAAACTTTTACATTTCATATAGATAAGTGTGAATTAATAAAAATAAAAAATAAAAAATGATTTTTAATTAACATAGATTTATGTCTTTATTCTTATTTTCATTATATATAAAAAATATTATTTTCATTATATATAAGAAAATAAGCTTTTATTATTTGTCACATTATAATGAATAAGAAATTAAAGTAAATATTTCATATATTATATCTATATTTAAGAATTTTATAATTAAAATTTCCTTAAATAAATATATATACATATTTATATGTGTCTATATTTCAAGTGAAAAAATTTTATTAAATAAATATATATATTTATATATGCCTATGTCTATAGGAGCATGTATCCAAAAATAATTTATCTATGATATAATAGTATTTAGATTATCTTCATCAATAACCATGTAATTAATTTTAGCTACACAGATATTGTATTTATGGCATAAAAAATTGTATTTTATAGAAAAAATTGTTATATATGTTAATTTGTTTAAAATTTTTTATATTAATTTATCTTTCAATGAAAATTTTAATAAATTAAGCTAAAACACTTGCCTCCACTGATTAAAAATCTTGGATCCGTCCCTGAATAACAAACTACCAAACGAATTAAACAAAATTTCCTACCCAGAATTGACTACCCTTTTTTTTTTTCTCTCAACCCAAGTTTAAATAGTGAACAATAATATTACCAGCAGCGTTTGCTTGCCTAGCTCGCCAAATAATTTGGGTCATCTTGTCATCAACCACCAAAGTATTTATGAGTTACTGAAATTAATTATCTTTGTTAAGATGGATGCAAACAGTGTTTGGCAGTTTCCTTCAATTTAAGTTTCAGGTAGAATATGGAGATGGGGAACTTCAAACCAAACTAAGTTGGCAGTCTTAATTCAAGAATTACTTACATTTAACAGCCACAAATAAACAACCCCAGTTTTGGACACCCAATTTCTCATTTTAATTGTTTAATCATATAGGGAAGTATAAGATAGATCCTGAAATTATTCCTTAACATGGAAAATAAAAAGAGTTATTAACATTGGCATGACATTCTGAAGGATTTTCTATTATGTACGCAAGGCCAAATAAAGCCAACGTTTTCAGTATGATTTTTAAGCTTTTTCCCATTTTGATTTGTTCGATGATCAACTTGATATTGTTATTGTGTTGATGTTACAACAACAAGCAGCTCAAAAAGCTAGTTTGAAGCTTTATTTAAAAAAAAAAAAGTATTGTTATAACTGAATTTATGCTTGACTAATTATTTAGTTATTTATTAGTACATGATAGTCACTTTTCCTTCAAATAATGATGGGTGTTCTAGTTCTATATGATCATCTATAACATTGATAAAGATTTGAAGCTGTGTAAATCTTCTGGTGGGTCATATTCTGTATTCGGAACTGAAATTTAAAATGTGGTCAGCTGGGTTGGTTTGGTAGGCATACATTCAATTGCTTGGACTCACCATCCAAATTAGCCCCACCAAGATTTCTGTAATAAGGACTATCAGAAACCATAAGCTAATGGATGAATTCTATTAGAAGGAGGAGGAAAGAAACATTTGCTTGGTCTAAATCATGATGACGGGACAATTCAGCGAAGAAATGTAAAAATTTAAAACATTTATTTATATTCCCTTTTCCTTTGGGATATCTGAACCTGTTTTCTGCTCATAGAAGACCTATTGTTTAATGAAATGTAAAAATTTATTAGAGATTAAAAGTCAATGATGTTGGCTTTATTGCATGATTCCCTAAGTTGGCTAGGTGATCAGAAGATTCAACATAGTTAGTCATTTGTGATAATTTAGTCTAATGAAATCAAAGTTCTTACAGTGGTAACATAATATTCATTTGTGTGTGTTTGGAATTGATTAATGGAGTTGGTCAAGGCCAGGATTGATCTGATATAATGATTTTAATAGAATGTGGAACCAGGCTAGCTGCCGGAGGATATGCCGTGTTTGGGATTGATTATGAAGGACATGGAAGGTCAAAGGGTGCCCGATGTTATATTAAGAAGTTTGAAAACATCGTTGATGACTGCAGTGATTTTTTCAAATCCATCTGTGGTATGTGTATTACCCGTACTTACCTCAATTGCTTAACCAACTTCTCTCTTTTAGTTCACCGTCTAAATCTGCCACCATGATTTTCCAGCGCAGGAAGAATACAGGGACAAGACCAGATTCTTATATGGAGAGTCAATGGGCGGCGCAGTGGCCCTACTGCTTCATAAAAAGGCCCCTTCCTTTTGGAATGGTGCTGTTCTCATTGCACCAATGTGTAAGGTAATGGTGAGAATATATATATATATATATATATATATATATATATAGTCTATTTCTAATTGTACTTCAAAAATTTTATAGATATCAGAGAAAGTGAAGCCACATCCAGTGGTCGTGAATATTCTGACAAAAATGGAAGAAATTATACCTAAATGGAAGATAGTACCCACAAAAGACGTCATTGAGTCAGCATTCAAGGACCCTACTAAGCGAGAAGTGGTGAGGATATTCAATTCCTTTTATTCTTGTTAATTCTTGCTCCTCTTTGATTAGTTTAGTTGATTTAAATGATTTAATACTGTAATTATGTATAGCTCATGGGGTCTTTTTGATTTATGATGGATGCAGATAAGGAACAATAAGTTAATATATCAAGACAAGCCTAGACTGAAAACAGCGCTTGAAATGCTCAGAACCAGCATGAGCCTTGAAGATGGTTTAAATGAGGTTAAAATCATCCCCTCTTGAGCCCTCCCCATTGCAAAAATATTACTTGTTTCTGTTTTATGTGGTTTTAAGCCTCAATCATGAAAGAAGTTCTACAATTCAGGGATAGAGTTGCACATCAGTCTGTAAATGTTACTGCATTGTAGGGGAAAAAATAACTGTAATAAATAATAGTAGGTGCTGTTAGGTCCTTTATTATGAACTCATAATGTACATTGTCAGAAGGTTCTTATTATAGGTTTCCTTGTTACGTGAGGCACTAGGATCCTTGAATGAGTTAATGGAGTGAAAAGAAATTAGGTAGTTGAATTGTCGGCAAACGGGGAGTCTTTTTCATTTATGTTACATTTACACCGGTTGGTTGGGTTGTTTTGGCAGGTGACAATCTCCTTCTTTGTGTTGCATGGGGAAGCAGATATAGTAACAGATCCTGAAGTAAGCAAGGCCTTGTATGAGAAAGCTAGCAGCAGGGACAAAACCATAAAATTGTATCCAGGGATGTGGCATGGATTGACATCAGGAGAGCCCGATGAAAACATAGAAATAGTTTTTGCAGATATCACAGCTTGGCTTGACAAGCGCTGCAATGCTGTAACGTTTGAGCAAATTCTTCATCCTTTCAACCAAGGGTTCAAAAAATTCACTAATACGACAATGTCAATGGCAACAACCAGTGGCAGAACGCAATCAAACGGGAGGTATTTGTGTGGATTGAAGGGACTTCGCACACAACACCCACTCAGCAATGTAGCCTGATAGTATCAACTTAGCTGTTGTCTCTGTATATTTCTCTGCAGCATAACTTTTATATTCTCCCAAAACGACAAAACTGAACCCTTGAAGGGGAAAACTCATGGAATAAAAACGAAACCTGAAATGTTTGTGGACGATTAATTTGTTTCACTGAAATGTTTTGTTGCTGTTGGGGTCCCTAAAAATGCTCGATTTGAGCTATAGATTGTTGACAGATTGACTGACAAAAACCCAAAATCTCCTTTGCACCACTATTCAAGTTATATTGGAGGCAGGGAAGCGAGAAAAACTTATGATGCTTGCTTTGTGTTCACTGCCAATGAAGTTAATGGTTCCAACAAAATCATTGATAAGTTACAGTGATAGCTCCTTCCTCCCCACTCCTGTTGTGAACTAATTGCAGCGAGTAATTGGAATATATATATAACATAAATGCAAATGATGCACTTGCAGTTGCAGGCCAATACCACCTACTGCAAGTACGCCATCATTGATCCATTGAGGCCCCAATGCTTGGTCATTTCTTGACCTTGTTGACTGTTGTATAGTTTTAAAAATACAAAGCTAAATCCATAAATGTGGTTATTCTTCGATCAAGTATAATTATGAGAGATACATACTCTTTTCCCTTTCAAGATTACAAGTGTCCTAATATTCAAAGAACAAAAATTTATCGATTTGGTCATCTGGAGAACATTTACATGATGCCATATTTTCATAAATTCCCCCAAATTAGAAAGAACTTAAGTCAAAAACATCAATCTTTTCCTCATTTCTTTTGTTGAGGCTTTAAGTACGCATGTAAAGTAATAGATTTAGCTTCCAATATTACACACGTTCTAGTTTTTATAAATAGTAAGTACCTACTTAGAATTTGAATGAAATTGTCAAGGGAAGGCTAGGATTGCACCTCAAAAAATGTCAAAATTGTAGTACCATACAGTACTTATTTTGACCGTGGTCCTTTAGCCTCTATAATCACATTTTTTAGATAATAATGTCAATTGTTAACAAAATGTCATATTCTTAATTTGAGAGTTCATAATTCAAATTTTTATCGTTTGAAGTCAACTTGAAATTATTAAATATTTATGTAAATTTTTTGTTTAATATATTTAAGGATATAAATGGATAGGATATGAAACGAGTAAAATATTCTCTATCTAATTCTCAAATGTTTATATTATATCAATTCTTATATTCATATTCAATGGATATTTTAAATTTATCTCCATCTCATTCCTGTAAATATTTAATGGTTTGGATAATTTTTATACGCATAAAATTTTTTAAAAAATAAAAAAATTATTTTTTTAGTTTTTTTTTATTTTTAACTTGTATATTTTAATACTTTTTTATAAATATATACTAATATATTTTTTAATAAAAAATTTATTCATTAATTATATATAAATATATATATGTAGGATATAAGTACATAACAAATATTATATTACTCGTCTTCGTATCCATACACAATAAAAATTTCAATTCATAACCTTTTTATCTTCGTATTCATAATATAATATTTTTCTTTATCCGAAATAAAAGTAAGATTTTTCATTGAATATGGATAATATTAATATCCCTATATATAGTCATGGGTTACTGTACCATGGAGGCCCAACTTAATGTCCATGACACGAACTATTGGACCGTAATCTGAAGCGCTAAACAGCCTTTTTCTTTCGTTGAACGTTCGGCTTGAACCCTGTATATTTCTATTCAACTGTGGCCCGTTTGAGAATCTTATTCCGAGAAAGAAACCCCTCTCGCGAAACCCTAACTCTGTAAGTTCAGTTAATCTTTCTACTCTCATTTTCTTTTGTTTTTCGATTCTTCATCTTCATTTCTTCCATTGAAAAAAAAATTTAATGAACCCTAATTTGTTAATATTTGCAGGCATTGCTGGGTGATAATCGCATTAAATCGCGATGAGGTACTTTTTTTTTAATTTCTGTTTTTCCCTACTAATTCTTAGGGATTTTCATGCCCATAATAAATCACTGTTTCTTCTAAAGTTTTAAACGAAATTCCTAAGGTTTACTCACTTCTCCTTCTGAAAAGATTTTGCTGTGAGCCTATGGATGAGGATACCAATATTAGTAATCTTGCTTCCTTTATCAGTATATGCTTCTTTCTTAATTTAATAGGGAATGATTTTTTTTTTATTGAAAACTATCTTTTCTACAATTCAAATTCGTAGTAGTCATTTAATAAAATTATAGTATTTTGGGCAGGATGGGAATAACGAGGAAGAACAATTCAACATAGTGCCATTGTCTGGGCTGATAATGAGTGTTAAAAACAACACCCAGGTAATATGTGTGTGGTTTTACTATTGAAGGAAGCTTTTAATCGATTACTTCAAAGTTAATAAGCATGGTTAGATGTAAGGTAAATAGAGGGTTAAGCCAGTGGTTTCACTGGTGACTGAAAGGTTTAGCTACAGGGACTGTTTGGGATAACCACAGCTGCAGTGTGCTGTGATGGTTTTAGTTGACTGTTTTTAAGGGGAGTTCTGTGGCAGACTAGCTCTGTCTTGCAGGCTTGCAATCATGGAGTTTCTTATTTAGCATGTTTTACATGTTTTTCCCTCCCATTCTTATGAAAGTTGGTTTCCTGATAGCCCTATGTTTTCCAGCTTATTGTGGAGTTTTATATTTCATTTATGCCTGTGAGATCAGTGAGTGAATAGATAAATGGATATTTCGTGCCTCTTTTCTTTTTTTCTTGTTGAATTTTTAATTTTATTTGAATCTGTAATTCTTTTTTTTAATATTTGTTGGTCACTCAGGTGTTAATTAACTGCCGAAACAATGAGAAGCTTCTTGGCCATGTGAGGGCATTTGATCGGCAATGCAACATGGTTATAGATAATGTAGGAGAGTTGTGGACTGAGTTCAGTTTATTTCTGCAGTGAATATTTTAGACCACTTTATTACTTCAATCCTATTCTATAAGATCTAAGGGCTAGTAGTTTCATCTAACTGCTCATATGTTAACTTTAGTTCAGGTACCAAAAACTGGCAAAGGCAAGAAGAAAGCTCTTCCAGTGAACAAAGATAGGTTCATCACTAAGTTGTTCCTGAGAGGAGACTCTTCTATCATTGGTCTTAGAAATCCAAAGTGAGAAGTTGATGATGAGTTATTCTATGATGTCTGAAACAAGTTTCTTTCTGTCATAACTTCTGTTTAAGGCGTACTATGTCCAAGAACCATGGTGAAATTAGTTAGCCAAACCAATCTTTAGTCAGCAGCTCTGAGTATTGGGTTTAGAAGTCTAACATGGCTGCTATAATGTCTCATACAAAATATACCCTGAAGCCCAATGGGTGATTCCTATCTTTCAAACTCCAGAGTATAGACTACTACTTCCTGAAGGTCCTAAAAGAGGCGAAGTGCTATGAGGCCATTTCTTAACTAGGTTGGGCCATTAGTACCAGGACAATTTTTGGGCGAAAAGCGAATCTTAAGCTACTAGTTTTTGTCCGAAACTAAAACCATCTCTTTGGTGAACTCTAGTTTTAGACTAAGTGAAGCACCCATTCAGATTCACATGAACTCAAGGAGGGGAAGGAAGTTGAGGCTTGCAACTTGATAGTCGAGACTTATTCATGGAAACAGATCAGGCATCAAGATTGTTTGGCAGAGTCGAACCTTTCTACTTGGCAATAATCTCTTACTCATTCATGTCCTTCGTGTAGATTTTTTCGTAAGAGTTTTCTTTGATTCACGGAAACAGATTAGAATATCCGTCGCTTTTGTAAGATCCAATTTGTCTTCTTTTTTTTCTGATTCATTCGTGGTGTCACTAACATCAAGATTCTCCCATATTTTACTAGCAAGAAACTTCATGAATCCTTCTTTAATTGAAAAGGAGTAGACTCTTACAGAAACGGCCGCACCCTTGTTGAGAAAAGGAAAAAGGGGAAAGAAACCGAGGGACTGACCAAAAGAGCTGGAGTAATTGTTGTAAGAGTAATCTGAGACAAACTAATATAAGCAAACAAAAGAATTATAAATGTAGATATGAGTATGGGAATGCATAGGGTATTCACTATTGCTGTTGAACATAAGCAGCTGTCAGCTACTGCATAAAAAATAGGATAAAATGTTATTTTTAGATTCGAAAGCTCACTGTATAGAGCCATGGAAATCACAAAGTTGGGAAACGCATGTCAAAAAGGGAAACCTCCAAAATCTATTCTAAAGAGACTTCATTTGCTGCTGCTGCCGCTAACTATATAATGCTTCAATGTGGAAAAGGGAGTTCTTTTCCACTGAACAATTTATATATTTGATTGGCCTGTCTGTGAGTGTCTATATGGCACCTTAAGATGATGCATTGTTGGCGTTGCTGCCCTCCTTGTGGTCACCAAAGATACGTTGCCGGAAGTCTGAAACCATTAGAGGGAGACCCTTTCGGAGGGATACTTTGGGTTCCCAACCAAGTAGCCCTTTGGCTCTAGAGATATCTGGCTTCCTCTTGTGTGGGTCATCTTCTGTATTGGGTCTAAACTCTATCTTTGCATTGGGGTCAATTGTTTCTTGGACCACCTGTAAATACAAATGGAGAAATCTCAGTACTTTCCAAGAAAAATTATTGATGTATATATGAGAAAGAGTTGACTTACACAGTGTAAAAGTAAATAAATTTTACATATTCTTTTAAACATTGATTTCAATAGATCAAATGGACGAGAGAGACAAATAAAAATAAGAAAAAATGGTTTAATCTCATTCTTCAAAACTATTAAAATTAATGCTTAGAAAAATATGTTAAATTTTTTTAGTTTTACACCGCTAAGTTGATCCATCCTCTACACACACACATATGAAGGATGCGGGAAACATACTACAAAAATGTAAATAATAAAAGTAACTCTTCAACATATGCTACACAAGCTTAGGATGTTAATTTGTCTCATTTTCTCAATTAGGGACAGGAAAAGAAGGGGAAGAGATGTGCTCAACATCTATATGAACACACAGGGTTCCACGTCACTTAAGACCTCAACTAACAAGACTCTGAAATCTGAATCAAATCAGACTGTGAACACAGTATTTATTTTATGGCGCACCCATGATTGAAACTAAGATCTCATGCATTTAATTGCAATAATCACTGTCATCAATATCACCAACACATTTCAGATTAGCTTCATCAGCTTCCTTAGAAAATAATATCAATACTACTTTTCAGTTTATAACTTACCTCAGCAAGCTCAAGCATGGTGAATTCACCTGGATTTCCAAGATTAAACGGTCCAACATGTTCTCCTTCCATCAAGCGCATGAGACCCTCCACCTTTTTCAACACAGATTACTTTTATAAACATGAGCATAAACAGCTATGCTATGCGTTAATCAATGTAGAGAGCAGAGAAAAGTTCTGATTTAGCATATACACCAGAGGACAGGACAGTATTGATATTAGACAAAAAACTGAACAGCATATACCCCACAAATCTAGCTACACAGCATTAGCAATAATACATCAATAAAATGTTTCCTGGGGAAAAACCTACCCCAGATAAGATAACGTAGTGCACTCAAAAGCAAGTACCAACTATTTATTCTAAAACGCTGGCCAATCATATAAAATAATACAATAAAAAATCCCAAAAGGTCACTTGAGATATTGTTAAAAGAAGCAGGAGGATACCATCTTTTTAAGTACAATTTGTTTAAAACTGGTTTGGAAGAACTATTAGTTCCATTGGCACTGAAAAAACAATGATGCATGCCTCATACTTATGGGGCAATTAAAAGTTGCTGGTCCACTTGGGATATTCATCTGGCACAAAGTCACATGGAGTATGGTTCTTCAATTAATTTTTACACCCTCCACAGGAAAAATCAGAACCATAGAAGATCCTGTCAATTAAGATCTTATTGCACAAGACGTAACATTTCCTATACAGAAATATCATATATTCATATTTTGAATGTTCTTTTACCATGTAATGTCAGGATGTACTTTTTAAATCATGTGCATTTCCTAGTTTTCTAGTTTTACACTAGAAATTTTAGATTCATTCCAGCTAAGAATCATACGTTAAACTATAACAATACAAAAAAATAATGCAGTATTATGGCACCAACATTTCCAATGGACAATAAAGAGAAATAAAAGGTGAAAAGAGTCATAAAAAAATTTTGATCAGAAAGAATTCTGACTAAAACAATAATCAAACATCATTTACCAGATCAGAAACATATTGGAAACTCCTTGTCTGCTTCCCATCACCATACACAGTCAAGGGCTCCTTTCTTAAAGCCTGCATTCATGATTTAATTATCCACATTAACAATCCCAATGGCCCTATCAAACAAATTGTTAAAAATTACTAAAACAAAAAGGGTACCTGAGCAACGAAATTGCTAACGACACGACCATCATCGATGCACATACGAGGTCCGTAGGTATTGAAAATTCTGGCAATCCTAACCTGAAATAATCAAACAGAAAATTTTATACATTAATAGAATAATACTCATATTTATACGAGTAATTTAAAAGTTTGGAGCTATGTCAGTGGAGATAAATTAATTAAGATTACGTAGGCTTAAAATTAGATTAGTACAGCAAAAAAAAAAAAGTGTCGATATAATAGATAACCTCAACTCCAGCTCCCCTATGGTAGTCCATGGTCAACGTTTCAGCGGTACGCTTACCCTCATCATAACAGCTTCGGACACCTATCATCATACATTCAAACCAATTTGGTCAATTCCCAATTGAAAATGTGCTTTTTTCATAATGTAAACAGAGAGACACGCGCAAACAACAACAAACACAACCAGCCAGATCAAAACTAAAACTAAATTCCACATTCAGAAGACAAATTTTACTGCAATTTCCATTTCTCACTCACCATTCCAAAACCGAAAATTAAATAAAAATAAAAAGTCCATTTTCCATTTTTAATTTTTCTGATAATTACCTAACTGATTCTTTTCTGAAGTGGCAGTAAATTACGCTACGTGTTAGTGTGCTGTAGGATAGAAAGTAAAATTGTTGGCCGTACGATTTAAGGGGCCAGTAATCACGGGTTCCTCGTGAAACGTTAAAATTGGACCAGATCTAAAAATATCTAGAGCGCCAGCACCGGCGCCATGTTTGCAATACTTTAAACTTCCAAAACAGGACAACAAAATGTGTACAAGAAACCCAATTCCCAATCCCCACCCCAGATTGAAGACAATTGGAACTACTAGTGAAATTGGAAATGAGAAAAGATATAAAGAAAAAATCCAAGTTCCTAGATTTTCCGGCCACAGAAATTTTCCAATAAGAAAGGAGAGAGGGACTAACCTATGGGATTAACGTTGCCCCAGTAAGTTTCTTTTTGTGGATGTTGCAGAGGATCTCCGTACACTTCGCTGGTACTGGTCAATAAGAACCTGGCACCTACTCTTTTCGCCAGCCCTAACATGTTCAATGTCCCCACCACATTCGTCTTGTAAAAACACACACCTCCAACCCCAATTAAGGTAAAACATGCATATACTACTGAACGAGAAAAAAAAGAAAAAGCAAAAACAGAGTTACGGGGATTTATAAAGTATATTAGATAAAAAGGATATGATAGTTTTGACGGGGTTGAATTTGTAATGAACAGGAGAAGCGGGACATGCGAGATGATAGATCTGATCAACTTCCAAGAGTAAAGGTTCCACCACGTCGTGTCGGATAAGCTCGAAGTTAGGGTTACCGAAATGGTGCATGACGTTCTCTTTCCTTCCCGTGAAGAAGTTATCGACCACGATCACGCTGTCTCCTCTCGCTATAAGACGGTCCACGAGGTGGGACCCGACGAACCCGGCTCCACCCGTTACGACGATTCTCAAACCTTTCCGCTTTAGCCCCAAGGGAATCTTACCGGTCGGATTGGCCGATCCAAACCCGACGCGGTGAGGGTAGGAGAACTTGTTTTGTGTCTCGATGGGGAAGTAGGTGATTGAATCAGGGATCGTAGTGGTAAGGTGGTGGCGGGGGACTCCCGGAGGACGTGAGGTTGGGAAGATGGTGAAAATCAGAGTGGCTATCGCAATGCCAACGAGCACGAAGAGAAGGCGTTGTTCTCGGAGCAGATAATGAATCGGGCGGGTAACGGAGGCCCATGGCTTAACGGGTTTGGGCGAATATGAATCCGAAGCAGTCTGAGTCTCATGGCCTCTGTATATCAGCTCCGACCCCATCGCTCTTCAACTTCAAAAACCAAAATCAATTTATAAGATCAAAAGAGGATAAATTTTATAAAAAAAATTGTTAAAGTTAGACGCCAGGAACTGAGTCGCCGGCGAGTTGACGCTGAGGGTGATGAGCGTTGGAACGGGAGTGCGTGGTGTAAAGGGCAGAAAGGGGGTTTGAGATGTAAGATGAAAAGCGGAGATAAATAAGGGCTTGGGAAAGGGGTGGTATTACCGAAACACCCTAATTAGTGGGCTTTTTTTTTTTCAAGTTTCCAAATTTGAAAAGTAAACTATTATCGTTGGTATTTTCATTTTTCTAAGTTCTAGCGATTTTGGAAGGTGTTTAATTGGGTGTTTCCTTTTTTTTATTATTTATGAATTTGCTTTAATAAGGGTGGTTTGCCTTAGTTGTTTATTTTATACCTCCAAGTTTTTACCCAATTTGCATCTGGAATCTATGACTAAAACAAAATAGTTTGACTATGAGTGTAATACTTATTAGTGATACCATTATTATGTAAGTATATTATATTGTTTTTAATAAAAAAGGGTTTTCATTTTATCAAATATAATATAGTATACGTATGAAATTGAGACACAAGCTTTAAGAAAATGTTTGTTTTTTTATTATTATTATATCAAGAGAATAAAATCTTAATACAAGTAAGAATAAAAAAAAATTTTGACTCAAAATCAAACCATTAATATTCTTTTAAACGCTTTTAACTATTAAATCAAAAGCTTCGAGACCAATAAAATGTTTGTTTATTGTTTGCTTATGGTGCATAGTAAATATTTTTATTATTTTACGTTTGAATTAGACAATTATATCTAATTTACAAATTAGTGAAATTAAGTATTTTATTTGGGTTGATTATTCTTTAAATCAATTAGTATATTATTAAATTTTATATTTAAAGATAACGAATTCAAAAAAAAAATTAAATATGTATGTCTTTTTTAACTAAATAAATAATAAGTTATGAAAATTTAGAGATAAATTAAAAATTAAAAAATATATATTTTACTTTGTGTTAGTCTTTTTATAGTAGGATGAAACTTGAGCTAAAAATATTATGTTTAGTGTTTTTAAAAAGAAATTAGTAATTTTTAAATTTTAAATTTAATTTTAGTGAATATGAAAATTTTTTCATATTATTATTTAAAAGACGAAAATCTCTGTTTATCATAATTCCTACTTCAAGATACACTATAAACATGTCAAAATTGCTTGTACGTTTCTTACTACAAATTCACTATCTTTTTTTTTTAAAACCAAAATATAGATAGGTAAAATAAAAAAGGAATTGGCATACACATGTATATCCCTAAAAAATGTTTGGGGTCCCCCTAGGATTGAAACCTATATAAACATTTCATTTGACTGGGTTAGCATATATAAAATCTTACCATGTCATATAGATTTAATTAACATAGAAAAACTAAGCTGATACCTTCATAACTTCATTTTACTATGGTTGACTGCAGCTACTTTTTATATATATAAGATTTCTTTGAGTTTCAATCACAAAACTTCTTTCTAACTCTAAGCCTATAATTTCAATATCCAATTAATTTATAAAAATAAGAACAGTATATTTAGATTAATATTTTCCATATTTTATAATTAAAAAAAAAAAAAAGTAGGAAGTTTTCAATGGATTCATTTGTTTCCATTAGCCAACCAAATTCCTCTCTCTAACCTTCCCCAGTTTTGCCTACCTAACTACCTAGGTAGCTATTCCGAAGTTTTCTAAAAGTGAAGTTAAAGCATGAAGAAGGATTACTTCGTAAATTTTTTCCGATCTTAGGTCTCTTTGTAAAGTACAATTCCCCCGCCCCAAATGTACTCAAAAACAAATTTGGTTGGCCAACCTTAAGTTGAATAAGTTGAAGTGATTTCGACGCTTTCCATTTTTTTCTAGCCAACCTAACACTTCCCCGTTGTTTTTTCCCCTTTTCCTTTTCGATTTTTTTTTCTAATTTGATAATTCTTTTTAAATTAAACCCACTTTACGTAAATCATGCACAAATGTGAATCAACAATTTGATGAATTTGGACACCTTCATGCTTCACTTTCTTCGTTCTAATTGATTTCAATGTTAGGTTAAAACTAGAAACACTAATCTAGGATTTCGGTTTCTTTTAATGCCTTAAACGACAAGGGATTTGCACGTTTTTTAGGTGAAAAAAAAAAAAGAAGAGAGAGGGAGAGACTGGCACATGCATTTTCGTTGTAATGAAAAAGAAATGTCACTTTGAAAAAAAGCTTTCATTGTTCTTTAGCAAAGAAATTAATATGGTAGTCTGTTGTGTTTATTCTTGCAACGGCGTTTTGTTTTATTTTGAAAAGTCATATATGCAATAATACTATTAAATCTCCTGTCACTGATTAATCCCTAACTAATCCGCTGATATCAGATGATTAAGACTGCAGAAATATTGATGGAAAACATCTGTTAATCGGTGAGGGGAACATTTTTATCTAAATTAAAAATCATTATGTCGGTTCATAGTGGGGGCAGGGCAGATAGTTTCTACTTGCTAGCTTAATCAACATCCATTTGTTCAAGTATTTAATACCTCAATCAGTTAATAGCCCTACTTGCGTAATTATTATCATTTGACAACGAAAATTCTTGTGTTGTTTTCGTCTATCGATCGGTATCAAGTGTATATTCAATATCTCAACAACATGTCAGTGCCATTTTGAAAATCATTAGAATTTCAAGCTGATGATCGTTTGTTTGTTTTTGGTAAGCTGGGTTTTTTTTATTTAAAGATATTGTAATTTAAGATAAATGAATGGATTATAAGTGTTGACATTTAAATTTTAAATTTATTGAATGTTATATTATTTTTTAAAAATAATTATATAAATTAATTAAATTAAATGTTACATTCGAAATCAGTTTTTCATATTTTATTAAATATCCCAAACGATTGAATGTTATATTATTTCTTAAAAATAATTATATAAATAAATTAAATTAAGTATCATATTCAAAATCAAAATTTCATGTTTAATTAAATATAAATGGCGTTAATCAAAGTAGTATTAGTCTAATGATCTCTTTATATATATATATATATATATATATATATATATATAAAGCATCCAAACAACCTCTTAATGATGTATTGTTAAATACGAATCTTAATTTAAATTGTTTATAAGCTACATGTGCCAAGTGGGAACCATAAGTTTATAATTTGATTGCATTATTACTGTTAAAAAAAGGTCAGAATAATTCTATGATATATCTTTAATTCAAATTAAAATGTATAAACCTGCTTGTAACTTTTAATTAAAACACCTTCCAAATTTATAAATACTCAGTCAAAACTTAAAAGTCTCGGATGAAATTAATCTTTTAAATATATATAAATATTATAATTATAGTCTTTATCGTCGACTTCCCAAATCATCTTTACACCAATTCATTTTTTTCCAATTATTTTATTCCAATAAATTTAAATTGTTAATTATAATATTAATTAAAGTCTTGAGCTTTAACTTTTGATAAATTATAGCTAATGTGTATAAAAAATTTTAAAAAGGAAAAAAGATTTTCTTTGCTAATTATTTTATAAATGTTTCTCTCCTCCTGGTTTGTAATATGTTAAGATTTTAAAAAAAGCTTTGGATTCTTCTTTTGTTCTAATAAAATAATTAGATTTATCGTACTACGATTTTACTAACTTATAGATCACAAAGCTCAAATAGGATTGAACCAGAAAAGAAGCACAGAACTTGAATACTGCTTCTTTTGAAGGATGAAGCAAAAATGACTTCTTCTGATTGGGCGCTTGCAATGCGGAGTTTTGGATCTGGGTGTGGGATGTGTGGCGTGTGGGTGGACAAAACATGTGTACCCGTGGGGACCTAATAGACAGGACTTGAATTGCACGTCGTCGTCGTTGGAGCATTCCATCTTAAGCAACGTCGACTCTCCTCCTTACACTTGGCTCTGAACGATTTCCCACGTTCTATCCACTGTCTGTCACTTCGCGTTTGGGTCTTGGCCTTTGCCCTCTTTTATTTATTTTGCCAATCACCATCTGCCATGGTAAGAACTAAGAACAGCAGTGCAAAGCAATTAGCATACTCATGCCCTTATACTTAGAAATTCCTACTCTTTTTTTTTTTTCTAAACAGAGAAATTTTGTTTTGGCAGTAAGAATGTTTTCCTGGTTTGGTTGGATTGAAGATTAATTAAGATTAGAATATTTTAATGGATTAAGAAAAAGAAAAACTATGACGAATTGAATTTTGAAGTGAAATGAAAACTTCCTATGAATGCAACCTCATTATTGGGTTGATTAGAAACAATAACAATGCATTATTGGCAAACAGATGCAGATTAGAACTTGAAAAAAAATTAGATGGGGTTTCAGTCGGCATCAAATATTGGTTAATTAGTGGATACTTTAGAAAATGATTTAACTAATATTGAGAACCTTTTTGTAGTTCAAATACAAGCATCACATCGTTAAGAGCATGAGAGTAACGTTTCATTTGAATGATATATATGTATTGAGGGGAAAGGGAACCATTGGTATTATGAATTGAGCTCAGTAACGTGGCCTTATACCTAAAAATATCATATTCCAAATCATGCCTCTAGGCTTGGGGAAATGACTTCCACGAAAACCATTGACTGACGAGATCAAGAAAAGGGCCCCTAAAAATATCTTTTCCATCACGCAGTGGCCACTGATCCTATGCACACTTTTCTTGATTTTTCGTTTGATTCCGATGTCTTTGAAAATTGAGTTGGAACGGAATACCTTCTTCAAAACGTTAAATCGTAAAAATTTTCTACATATTCAAAGATTGCATTTAGTATTTTTATGAATTAATTTAATAAATTAAGCAGTTTGAATCAAAGCATATGGAGTTATTGTCGTTGTTGGCTGTTCATGGCGGGTGGAACTGAGTTTTAATATTATCTATGAAATATACATAAAATAATATGGGGTTAGGTGTTATTTCAATTTCCTATATCCTGAAATAAAATTTAAAACTGCATTTATATATGCAAGTGGTTCCATTGTTGATGCTATAATATTGGAACATATTAAAAACCTTATTATTATACACATTAGTAATATTCCCCCCCCCCCCTTCCTTATATATTTAACATCTTTATTTACAACTGTAAATGATTGACTGAGTAACTGCAATAGAAGGTTCCATCCCTCAATTATTATAATGTGTCTATGGCCACTGCATTTTGTCTTCTTCAGACAAAACCATGGATGTGCCTTTGTCATGGCCAATGAGTAGGACAATGCTCGCATGCATTGCCTCTTTTTATCTCAAAACTCGTAGAGCTCTCTTTACTTTTTCACTTTCTTTACTTTTCTCTGTACATCACCTTCTTGAGTTTGAGGTGGGAAAGAGGCACATGTCCCTGTTGGACTGTTGGGTCTGGAAGACTTTTCTTTGCCATTTTTTTCTTGCTAAGCAGTAAACACATAGATTTTGGCCGTACTTGCTCTAACGAGGTCAAGTTGATTTAATATTCAAAGTTTTGGCTCCTTATTATCGTCGTTTTAAGTGAAATAATAAAAATAATTTTTGCTTTAAAGAAGAGCCGCACAAAAAAAAAAAAAAGATTCTTAAATTTGATGATGATATATGATTTATAGAGGGCATTCGTAGAAAGTTCAACCTCAATAATTAATGGTCCCCGCTTTGTGATCAATACCATTACGTTAGCCTAAGATATTTTAAGAGAAAAAACTTATGTAAAATTCTGATTCACGATTTCGCCCGCCTCTCTCGACTTCAATTTGATTCTTTAAAAATTTTTATTTGATTATATATATAATTTGTGTACAATTTGTATTTGATTCAAAATTAATTTAATAATTTTAATTTTAATATTATATTTATAAAATATTATATTTTAATATAAATTATATCTTAATTAAATGTAAATATAATATTTTTGTTAAATTAATATTTTAAATATAAAATATTAAATAATAATTTTATTAATATAAAAATATAATATATATATATATTTATATTGAAAGGGATAAGGATGAAGTATCCTAAAATCACCTTTAATCAATCCCTAATTTTAAAAAAAATACTCTTATTAAATTAAAACACATCAAAATTTACTGAAAACAAAAGTACTCAATTTTTTTTTTGTAAAAAAAATTTGAGGATAAATAAATTATTTAATTTTTTAAATTAAAGTAAAATGTGTTATACTTGATAATTTAAGATAAATTACTATAAATTATATATTCGAGATGATTTCAATAAATGATTATCAATAAAATTTAAATTTAAAATTTTTTCATCGAAAATAATAATTTTAATCAATTAAATTAATTATTTATGAATAAAATATTCAACTATCTTTATCGATGAATGTATATTTCGAAGTAGCAATCCTTGCATTGGGGGGACACTTCGGGTTAGCTTGAATAGATAAAATGAGACAGTACAAATTCCAGACTCAGGCCTACGCAGATTGCAAATTTAATCTCTTACAACCTATGTATGCCTGTATGACTTTCTTGGAGTTCACTAAAGGCCAAATATTTTTTCGTTATTAATTATTAACCAATCAAAAACCAGAAAAACTATAATAAAAACGAAAGGCAAACGGGTCAGCGATAGAACTCAATGATCCCATACCGGAGAGTCTTAACCAAACAATCTAAAGATTGACACCTTGCCATGTTTAGCACTGCCACAGGTCCAATGACAGACACCGTTGCGGCACTCGGTAAAATCATTTAAAGGGCACTTGGAGCCTCAAATTCACAGGCTTGGGCTTCGTTAAGCCCTTTAATTCCGAACAAAAGCGGAGTGCAATCGTGGGCCTTGCCTGCAGGCTGTAACTCATCGTTTATAATTATAATTATAATTTGGGTTTTTTTTAATTAAGACCGGATTAAAAAAAGTAAAAATAAATTTTTTTTTTTATTAATGTTAAGTCCACTTGTAAAAAATAGTCATGTGGCATAATAAATGACATATTAGCAAAAATAGAACAATATCATTCACATAAGTTAATCGTCAATAAAATTAACCAAAAAAAAAAAATCGAAAGCATTATAATTTGTATCAATATTATTAAATTTAATAAGTATGAAGATGAGATTTTTATAAATTATATTAAAAAGATTAAAATTGTGAGTACGAGTGCCAATTGTATCATTTGAAAAAAAATAATTTAAAGCTGATAGAATTCAAAGCAGGGCTCTAAATGAACAAGCTAGATATTAATATTCATACATATCTAGCTGAAAACAAAATATGCTTTGATGCGTGGTGCCTGGTGGCATTATTCAGCTGAAATACCCTATTGTCGTTTTAATCATTAACCTATAATCAAATCCCTTCTTTCAGAATCGTTAAGGTTCATTTGAGCTTTCCAAGCCGGAGGCTGTAAGTTCATTGACCAAGGCCAAAGCATTACTGGTAAAATATCAGGATCTCAAAACCCGATTTCGCAGCATTTTGGATTGCTTTCCCCTTGGATTCTCAAAACCATCCAAGCAAGTGTCTTGATCGGTTAGTGCTGCACTCAACCAAGTCGTAACATCCCCCATCTGTGTATAAAAATTTCTGGCACTTAGCTTCCTAAGAACCCCAAGTGCCCGTGTAGCAGGTCGATAGCATTTTGAAAGCACTCAATGCAAATCTGAGAGTGGAAATTCGTATCTCCCTCTCATCTCCCTGTAATTCTTCACTTTCATCAAGTACTGAGCATCGTTCTTGGTTTCTCCTATTGTCACTGAAACCCCGGCTCGCGCCCACTTGCTTGGTCTTGTCTTAGCAGTGCTGGAAAATGATGCTAGTGAGTTGATACAAAGGGCATGGTATGTGGTTACACTACATGGATCTTGCACATAATTGCTTGCTGCGTTTGGTGCCGATTGACCCGATTTTAGAAGGCATATGAGAAGCAAAAATGTCAGGTAAACATTGGCGTTTGCCATTAGCATTAACCAAAGAATTTCTTGAGGGAAAAGAATAAAGAGAAACCAAAAGATTGACAAGAACTTGAAAAAATAGAGCAGAACTAGGTATTCCCTCCCTGAACTACCATAAATATATAGATTTTAAGAAAAGGCTGGAAGAGCCGTTTGCTTATGAACTATGATTTCTCTGAATTCACAGAATAGCTAGCTTTATAAAGTGTTCTTTGACTGACTTGGGCACTCATTTTGAAGTGGGAAAAGCGAGAGACTGGTGATGGATGCAATAAATTTAGTGAAGAACATGTGAAGCGGCAGGTGAGTTACTCGTGCATTTGGATGGGATTAGATCTGTTAGGTATCCGTATCTTCTTTATAATATGAGAAAACATTAATGTCTGCAAAAGATCAACTCATGCACATACAGCAACGACCACTGCCGTTGTAAACCATCACTCTTCCATCCCTTTTCGAATTCAGAACATTGTCTGTTGGTTGTAAAAAGAAGGTCACATCCAATGGTCCAGAGTTCAAATCAGCTAAGTGAAATTAATCTCATAGGTTCAGATAGTATTTACGTATCATTAAATTGTATAATGGTAACGACTTAAATACAACAAATGAGATAAGAAAGATGATGAAATCACTGAAATGGCTTATAGGAGGATGTGTAAAAGAAAGTTATCCGTTAGGCAGCCCTAGTCAAGGTAATGGTTGGCTGATTAATGATTGTTTTGGGTTAATTGCAGTTACTTTTAGCAGTTATAGTTTTTGGTTCATCAGGAGACTGTTTTACCTAAAAGGAGAGGGGGGGGGGGGTTCAAATCCTATTTAGTTCAAGTGACATGATTCAGCCAAATCAATGATGCAATTCACATGAATGTAATGACTCCAGTTTTAGACGTTTTGTGGGCAAAATCCAGGCGCATTGCTGCATTTCGGGCAAAATCACACGGATTCTTGGGTTATATCGATCGTCATAAGGTACGATTAAAACTAATATTTGGGCTTTAAAAAATTTGTATCAAACCCAGCCCAAGTCATTTGCCGTACAGAGTATAAAAACATATATCAAATTTTGTCTTTCCAATACCCAGCCGATTAAACCCTGTTTCTCATTCAAATCCGCTGACTCCATTAAACCAGCGGCCTGCGGCGTCTCCGTCCTTCCACAGAGTCTGAGCCATGGCTCGTTTCAATAACGTAAGTAATGGCACTGCTTCTTTTTTTTTTAGCGTTGCTTGCCTCTTTTCAAGTTCAAAAATATTCTATTTGGTTATGAATTTAGGAATGTTTTTGTGCCTTTAGGTTTTTTTGTTCTTGTATTTTTGGGGTTGGTTTGGTTTAATCATTGTCCGATGTCTGAATAAGAAACAGAGAAAGAAGAAGGTTTTCGTGAAGCCAATTGTGAAAAAGCAGCAGAAAAAGCAACCAAATGTGGACCATATCACAGGGAATAAAATCCCAAAGAGTTTTGTGTTTTCGAGAGGGAAGCTGCCTGGTCCGCTTAGGCAACTTCAAATGGACTTGAGAAAATTGATGCTTCCTTATACTGCTCTCAAACTCAAGGTAATTTCTTTCCTTTTTTTTTTTTTCTTTTTACAGAAATTTTGTTGTCTTATACGTTTTCTTTTTAATAAACTTTTGTTTTGTTGTTATTTGATGGTTGCAGGAGAAGAGGAGGAACAATCTGAAAGATTTTTTGAATGTTGCAGGGCCAATGGGTGTAACCCACTTCCTCATTTTATCCAAAACTGAAACTTCACCTTTCCTGAGGGTTTCAAAGACCCCTCAAGGCCCTACTCTTACGTTTAAAATATATGGGTATTCGTTGGCTGTTGATATTGCACAATCTCAGTTGCGCCCTAGATGTCCTCAGGATCTTTTCAAAAATTCTCCTTTGGTAATTTCTTCTTATCTCAGCCTTTTTTTTTAATAGATTGGTTTTTTTTTTTTTTTAAGCCAAATGCTGCTGTGATTTTTGCATTAAAACAGAACAAGGGAGAGATCGAATCCTTAATGTTTTCGCATTAAGCATTTTGCTCAAAGGGGTTGAAGTTATATCTTAATTTATATCATCTTCATAGTATTAATTTTGAATATATCTTGGGCAGATTGTTCTGTCTGGCTTTGCTGCAGGAGATGAACATTTAAAGCTCACGACTACCATGTTCAAGAACATCTTTCCAGATATTGATATCAACACTGTGAGTGGTTAGATGGTTAAATTTTAGTATCCAAACTGACTTCATTTCTTTTCTTTTTTCCCTCTTAACATTGTCTTAACATGAATGTTTCAGGTTAAACTCTCTTCTTGCCAAAGGATTGTGTTACTTAATTACAATAAAGACACAAAGCTTATTGATTTTCGACATTATTCTATCAGACTACAGCCTGTTGGCGTCTCCCGTAGAATCAGAAAATTTGTGCAGAATCATCAAGTACCTGATCTTAGGAATCTTCAAGATGTGAGCGACTTTGTCACTAAGTGAGTATCCTTTCTTATGAGCTATACATATCTACAGTACTGTCCTTATGGATGGAATACACTTTGTGATTTATATAGTTCTACTCACTTCTTTGTTTGTTATATGAAGAGCTGGCTATGGATCAGAAAGTGAAGCAGATGAGGAAGCTGCAACAGTTACTCTGATTAGTGATCTTAGTCGAGTTAATCGAGCTTCTACAAAAAGTGCTGTCAAGCTTCAAGAAATTGGACCTAGAATGACTCTCCAACTCATCAAAATTGAGGGTGGACTATGTTCTGGTGAAGTTATGTTCAGTGAATATGGTATGTTTATCTATCCTAGCAATTTTTATCTTCGTTACCGAAAAATAGGAAAAGAAGAGAAGAATAAGAACGAGAATAAGAATTTAACAAAAAAATCTCTAACCTTTTCTTCTACATGCTAGATTATTCGCTGAGATATTTCAGATTATAAGTCAATCTGTTCTATTCTCTGTTTATCAGGAAATGGTGGCAATAAGGAAAAGCCAGGAAGTCGGGATGGTAATGAAAGGGAAGATAGTGAGAACGACAACAAAATGGAAGATAGTGATGAAGATAATGAAGCGGAGGATAATGAGGAAGATACTGAAGAAAGTGAAGAAGATAACGAAGAAGATTAGTTTAGCAAAGTGGAAAGACACACAACTTTCATTTCCTCATTAAATGACATGACAATTATAATTAGTGATGTTCTTTACATAGGGAAGGTGCTCACCTAAAGTGAGAGAGATCCTCCATCATAAGAGGATCCGATTTGCTTCCATGACCGTTAGCCTTTTACCTTTCCTTTTTCCTTTCCTGCTTTGCTTTGTCTTTTCCTCTTGAATTTTTGCTTACATTTGTTGTAGAAGATCCATAGATTTTGATATGAGAAAGATAAAATGCACTTGGTGTCAATATTTTTAATGTCGCTTGTACCAGTGGGAAGAGTCCTTATGTTTATCAGAAGCAATATACCTATGAGAGGCAAAATTGTTCCATCCTTTAGTATCATTTTTTATTTGAATTCATGAAAGAAAACTTGCTTGTCGAAAGATTATGGAATTTCTTGCACTGCAGGCTTTGATACTTCCCACAATGCAGAATGCTAGAAGGCTTGTTTTATTTGGTGGGGATTTTATCACGTAATGTAGGAGTAGAGAGTCTATTCTTGATTTCTTGATCATTTACCCCGTGCTTTCTCAGTATTTCATGGAACGATACTGAAATTTATTAATGAGACAAACCCTCATGAACCGAGGCAAAAATTGTAACATAATTGTTTTACTTTAACAAAAATTTTGAGCAACTAATCAAAATGGTTTTTGCTTGGATGGATAACACAATTGATGGACTGGAACAAAGAAACAGAAAAATCTTCTACTAGGTATCCCAAAATAGAAAAAGCTGAAGGGACAGACATCCTGAAGCAAACAGAGAATAAGCCGTATCTGATAAAAGCCCAAGTTTACTCTTTGATTGTCATGCTGATTTTCTGATGATCTCTTCGGAAGGGATCTCCAGTGAAGCCCCTGCATGCTCCTTACTCGGCTTCACCTCTGCAGCAAGCAATCAATAACAGAGCTTAAAATTATGACCCTTAACTAAAACATATAATAATTATAAACAATTGAAACGGTAATATATGTCAACAGAGAATAAGAAAATGTATGAAGATATGAAAGAGGAGCTCAAACAGACAATCCATCGAACATGTGTTAATCACTTAAAGTAAAACAAAAAAGCAAATTCTAATGAGATATTGGGAGTGTAATTGAGGGATGCAATGCAAGTGATGTTAAATACCATAGCCGCCGCGGTCGTTGAGCTTGGCTTGAACGATCATAGTGCAAATGAAATGGGAGGCCTCACGTGCTTCCTCGAGGAGTCTCTGGATCTCGGGCTCAGAGGTCACGTTACGATTGGCGTCGAATTTCTTACGAACCTCCACGGCGGAGGCGTCCAGCATCAAGGCGTCCCCCACGAATGATTTCCGGGTCGCTCTTAACAGAGCCCTGTACGCGCTCAGTGCTTCTCCTCTTACCATCTCCTTTTTCAAACTGCACCGCCGCTTGTTAGTTTTTGCTACTAATTTGGCACCCTATCGTTTCTTAGCTTTAGCAAATATATAATTTAATCACCGCATTATTGTTCCTTCTACCCTTCTTTCACCAAGGTGCAATTTTATTTTTTATTTCTTAAAAATCAAGTTGAAAAACAATTTACTCAAACTCTTACTGGTCCTGGTGTCGCTTACTCAGTTAATCTATAGTGGATTAGTAGTATCAAGTATGCTACGTAGTAGTATTATTCCAGAATTACTTGTTCTAAATGAAGATTAAAAAAAAAAAAAAAAAGAGCCGTGCTAATAACTTTTCAATCCACTTGTAGCCTTGTACCAAAATCTTGTGAACATTATATGGGCTATGGCAATGAACTATGGGGATCTTGCTATACAGAATGATGAGTGCTGCCAAAAATCATGCTCCTCTTACCATCTCTAAGGACTAAAATGCGTCCCAATGCCCCTGCTATTTGATGTGGAGTTAATACATTGCATGCATCCCAATCAATCCAAGCCAGTTTCCCTCTCTAAAACCACTCACGGTAATACAAACCTTCTAAACTTGCCTTTTGCCACAATCTGTAATTTTAATACAAAATTTTTCACTTCACTTACCGTAATTGTACATGGTTTTCATTTCTTCCAAGCAAAGGCACAAGAGACAATGGTAACCTTCAGAAAGCAACTTTAACCCTAGTAAAATACAAAACATCAATTTCAATAGGACATTTCACGTTGTTTTCTTACAACATATTACAATGTTAATGCACATCCAAAATACTTTATGTTTAATTTATAGAATATATTGCATGAAATATCCAAAGAGACCCTGAAGAATTTCACCACTCAGCAAATGGAAAATTTTTCGACTGCACAAGGTTGTAAGGTTATTGATACATTATAATCACTCTCAAGTGGCAATCTAGAAGCCAACACATCCTTCCACCACCTGTAAACAATGTCCAAGCTGGTATCAGGAAGTATGTCATCATTTAATAACTGGGTAATTTACCTCAAGGAATCAACCATTCTATAATCATGTTTTTTGCGACGACATCTATGATGGGCTTTTTGATCAGAAAATGTGTTCTCCCCAACAATCTCCATTTTAGAATATGTATCTGCTGCAAGGAAAAGGCATTCAGAAGCAACCACAAAAGTAAGGCAAAGGCAGATGAGAAGGCACAACAATACTTTCTTCCAACCATGTACTTATTGTTCTATGTCTACTAGCTCTTTCCTAGACCATTAGCCGAATTCACAGATTTGGAACTTGGGAACCACAAAGCTAAGTTTAAACATTAAATAAAGAAATGAAAAAATAAAATCCTGACGTAAAAAACCCATCCAGAAATGCAACTTATAAGCTCTGAAATACTGCAAGGAAAATCTTATGATCTATGAGACAGGTTTATATTGCCTACTAGGGATATGAAGAGTCCATTAAAGCAACATTTTAAAATTGAAAAATATATATGAAAGATTATAGACATGAATTTAAAGAGAAGCTGAATGAGTCTAACAACCACTAACTGCGTGAAAATAACTTTTGCAAGATTACAGAGACCACTTGCCTCATTATAGATATCAATACTACTATTAAGAATATCGCTTCTGCAATTTTCACTCAAAATAAACTGCCACTCGAGCCACACAACTTGCCTCATCTACCAAGATTACAGAAATACCACAACTCAAGTTGACAAAGACCACTATGATCTGCTCTTCCAAATTCGCCTTAAAACCAAGGCTACAATGCTTCCAAGTTACATGACAATTTCTGTAACATAAGGAGAAAGAAACCTATGATCACAGTTGTAAATTCTTGCCCTCTAGAAACTAAATCTATTGTGTTTAGGCACTTAGACGTTCGCTGATCCAAATGCTTCTGCTACATAATTTACTACTCAAGCTCCTTTAGTGTGTCTCTTCATCTTGTTGAAATCATTAGTACAATAATGTCAACTACGAAAGACGGCAAAATCCAGAACTAACTTTGGTAAATTTACTCGTTTTAGTCAGATAAGTAAGCGGTATAAGTTCTCAAGTCTTCAAACTTAACAGTAACATAGATAGCAGTGTCTAAAACACTTGCAGTTTTGACCACGCTGCCTTGAGAAAACAAAAAAGAAAGGAAGAAAGATGACCAGCATTGCTACAACTACGCCAACAAGAATCATCAATCCAAACATCATCAATTACTAATAGTTAACTGCATTTTCCGAAAAAAAAAATAAATCTCAGAACCATATTAAGAAGTACAAAATAAGCATTAAAATAATCAAACAACAAGAACATTAACAATACCTCCAACGTGATCCCCCCAAAACAACAAGCGAGCGTCGTCTTCTTCCTCATCAACCTCATCCCCATAACCAAACTCTCCATCACCACGATACCCAGGTTCACTCCCATAGCCAGATTCATTCCCTTGAGCGTCAAAACCCCCAAACTGCCCCCCAACCCCGCATAAACTCTCCTTCTCTCCACTCCCACCATCCACTCTTTCCCGCCTGGAATTCCGGGCATCGCTCACATCCGAGGCCCAATAAGCATCCCCACCATTCACAAACAGTTCCCCACTCGAGTCCGTCCCAACCGTCACCGGAAAATCCGAGCACGTCCCATGCGCCGCCGACGCCCCCACAGAACAGCACATTCTAGTCCCACTCCGATCGGAGCTCCGACCGGACACCGACCTCGACCCATGGCGGCGGCGTTTCCTTGCAAACAGCCTAAAGCTACTTCTCTTGGGATTGACGGAGATTGGGTTGTTGTTGTTGTTGTCGTCGTCAAGAAGAGTTAGTTTGGAGAGGTCGATGGAGAAAGAAGTGGTGCGATCGGAGAGGCAAGGACGCTTGGAATGGAACCCATCGGTTGGGGAGCGTTTTGGAGGTGTATGTTGGGGATCGGAGGAGTTTCGGGTTTGTTGTCGCTGGAAGGGTCTCCATGAATGGAGCTGGAACGTGCACGAGTCTATTGAGGGACGTGAATCTAGAGCCTTGTGTGACATGGGATTGGCAGATGGATTCTTCCTTCAATCAAAGGATTTCAAATTAAACATTGGATTTGGAGATTCAGGCTTTTGCAATTGCACCCAACTCTCGTATTTACATTATTTTTGTTTAAATTAAAAAAAAAATCAGTTTTCTTTTGAAAGATATTTATTGAGGTTGGAGCGTAGGGAGTTTAAAGGCAAAAGATTATGAACTTATTACTACAGTAACCAGATACAGACGGTGGTGGTTTTAAGTTAAATTATTAAGTTTGAAAAAGCTGGGGGAGGAGAAAATTATTGGGACTCGTAGGCTTAAGCTTATCTGTCCTCTCTATATTTTGATTTATTATTTATTATTTTTTATTTAGTGCCAAGGGTCATTATCAAGCACGTGTCACGCAGGAAATCAGGCAAATGATATGATGACCCCATGGCCCCCGAGCTTCAGAAACAAAGCATTGGCCCAGCCCCAGATTCAGACATAATTTCCTATTTAGCAAATGCATTGGATACTTTTTTATAATCAGATGCATATGGATGCTTGATGTACAAAGTTAAGTTACATTAAACCATAGAACCAGTCAATAAGGATTTGACTTAGTAATAAGAAAGCAATTTTAAATTTTTTAGGTTTTATATCTAAATTTTGTTATATGTGAGTTTAATTTAATTTTATATTAAATTTATTTAGTTATATTTTAATTTATTTAATTATTCAATAATTATAAATGTATTTTTTTTTAATTGTAGGACACGTTCACAATTGCTCTCTCCAATTCCCTAACCAAATCTATCCCCACATTCCCTCACACATCATCCTCCTTATACTTTGTTAATTTGAGTGTATAAATGCACCATGAAATATCATCTCTAATGCCACTTAACTTTTTTTTTTTTTTTAACATATCTCGTCCATCATCAAACTTAATTTCCAACAAACTCTTCAACACCAAATCAAAAATCACATTTGCAATTTGAAACTTAAAAATATTTCAAAATTCAAATATTGTACAAAAAATAAAAATTTCAAAGTTTATATGATTAAATTTTCTACACCAATTTTTTTGTATTTGAAGATACTGAAAATTTAATATTTGGATACATTACTATATAATTTCCACAATGTTTTATTGGTGTGACAAGTTAACTTTGATTTATTTTTTTAGATAGCTTTTTTATGTAGTGTTAAATTAAAAACCATGTTTGTTTGAAATGCTAAAACAAGTATGATGTAAAATAAAATTAAAATAAAGGTCTGATACATTATATGAAGACATTAAAGATGAAATTCATAAAAGTATTTAATTAAAAGTGATAATTACAAATATGTTTAAATTGTTACACTTTATAATATTTTTAAAAATTTAAAATTATCATAATTTTTATTATTTTAATTACACTTTATAATTTTATTATTATATATTGTGTCTTATTGTTCTACATATGTCAAGGCAAAACTTGAATTTAGGAGTGACCAAAATAAACAATCATGAGTTATCAAAGTAAATACATGCACTTTAAACTCTAAAAAAAAAGAACTAATTTAACTAAGTCATGCACGTATTATTAGTTGGTGAGATTTTGAATATGAGAATATCATATATGCCCATAAATATAGCAGTAAGATTTTTCTTAAATTAAATTATTACAAGCGATGGGTTCATATGCATTTTTTAAGTTTCACTTGCGAAAGGGAAAAGGCGAAGTACAATTTAAATTGTTACCAGTTCTCGCCGTTCGTATAACAAAAGAAAATGTTTTACCAGTACATATTGTTATTTTTCATAAAAAAAATAAAAATAAAATGGGTTTATTAGTAAGGAAATCGGACGAGGACCCGCGGTCCACGGGTAGCCCGAAACCCGTCTGTCTGGTATTTTGGTAAATTTGCAGCCACCTGAAAAGGCCGAAACTAGCCAAAGTTGTTTTCCTCACTCCGTACAATCAAAATTGAACATTGTATTTGAGTATACAGCCGATTTAATCGAGCGGAGCAGGCAGGTGGAGAAAGAAAGAGAGAGATGGCATCTGGTTGGGGAATCAATGGCAACAAAGGCAGGTGCTACGATTTCTGGGTCGACTTCAGCGAGTGTATGTCCCGTTGCAGAGAGCCCAAGGACTGCGCTCTCCTCCGTGAAGATTATCTAGAGTGCCTCCACCATTCCAAAGAGGTAATCCCTCTACCTCGTCATTCGTTTTTAATTTAATTTAATTTAATTTTCACTTCGATTCCAAGATTTCTTTATTTTATTTTTTGCCGCTGAAATGTTCCTGAAACCCTAATTCCTTTATATTATTGTCAATGGAGTGTCTAATTAGTCTTCTTAGAAAATTTCTTGATCCATCACATTATAATTTTAGTTACAATTAGAAACGCATTTTATGAGATAAATTTTTTTTTTTCTTTTTCCTTCGAATTTCATGCTTTGTTAAATATTGATCTTGAGCTAACTAAATTTCACGCCCTGTGGGTCCTCAAAACTCCAGAGTGGACTGGAATCGATTCAATTAGTTTCTTTTGACGATCATTTGCAAATGATTAGTTTTCATTGTTTTGTTTCAATCGTACTTGTAAATCCAAGTTACTGCTGTCTCTAGTATGTTTAGATTCTGGCTTTCCCTAATTTGAAAGGAAAAAAAAAAAAAGAGGGCAATGTTGGAGCCTTATTGATGAGCCCCAGTGTTGATTATGAATTATTAATAATAGGTGCTTTCTTTATGTCTTAGTGCTGCGGCTGGGAATGAATTATAATCCAGTTATAGATAGCTTCATTAGTTTTATAATTCATCTACCTTTAGGTTAGTTTAAACTTTCTATGGTAGTGGATGATCTGATCTTAACACCAGCTGAGTATTCCACTCACAATCTAGTGTAGACACATGGAACTTGTGTCATACTTCTCTCCTGAATTACTTTTTTTCAGTTCTAATTTCATTCCTCGTATTCGTCAATTACTTTCCAGAACCAGAATTGCATCAAGTAATCTTTTTTTTTTCATTTGCACTTCCATTTCCTTTTGTACCTTTTTCCTTATAGAAGGGCAATCTGGCAAATATATTTCCATGTAAACAAGTTTTCAAGAAGATGAAGTGTAACATCAACTTAAAAGCTGAGAAAAAAGGGGATATATGATGTAATATATTTGATCTTGGATTGTACATGGGATATGCTTTACTTGTAGTTGAACTCATATAAACTACAGCAACATAGAAAGTTCAAATTTAACTTCTTCAGTGCAGTATTAATGCAAAGATGTGGCACATGGTAGAGTGATAGATTAAGCATTTCAAGGTCGCAATATCATTAGAGGCCTTCAAGAATGATTCTTGAATTGCTATTATATGTATGTTGTCACAAAATGATAAGTATATGCTTTTCCTTCCACATTACTAGTAGTATAATCCTGCAAACATAGAGTGTGTAGTTCAAAAGGTATTAGAGCTACAATGCCTGATATCTGAATCAATATGGCTGTGACCTAGAGGCTGTTTTGGGGAATTTGTTAAACTTTTTGTTCATACAGTTTTATGAGTATTTTGGAATTATAGCATCTATGTTTGTGGTTTTGCTTAAAGGACGCCGATTTTCTGTAACCTATGAAACAGTATCATAAGATGAAAATAATGTCAACTGATGATTGGTGTGATTTATTGTAAACAAGTCCAATATATTCTCTGTCAAGTGGTATTTTAATGGTTTTGTAGAGGCAGCTAGTTTGAATACATGATCATCACCAAAGGTCATGGGATGAAACCAAAAGATATAAATTCAATTTACGATTCATGTCCCAAAAAGTAATGTGTGATTTTCTTTACCATTGACCTAAGCTTTTACATCTATTGATGTTCATTGTGGTTGATCTTGATAATTATTGCAGTTTCAACGAAGAAATCGAATTTACAAGGAGGAGCAACGTAAATTAAGAGCTGCTGCACGTAAAGACAAGGAAGGCGAAGATGGTATACGCCATCATGCATAGTGATAATTTATGATCCTTTAAATTTCCAAGAATAATAATACATGGAGATTGTTGTATTTTTGTTCGGATTGGAATTCCAACTCTTTTCTAAATGATCTTGGTTTCCCTTTCCTTGGATTGGATATTATTGTTTTGAGCCTGTGCAAAGAGGCAATGATTAATCTTTCATCACACCTAGGTGTGGCAGCAACATTCATTTGAGAATCTGTTGTGTCAACTCTCATAATATTGCAGTTATGGCTGAAATTCTGAGAATCATATATATATATATACACATGGAATTGGATGGTAAGTGTTACTCAACCTTTCTCCTAAACCAAAAAACTTTTAACATCTTTTTTTTTTTCTAATAATTTTGTGAAAATAGCTCTTAACATCATTATGGGCACATCTGATACTACTTTCTATTTTCAAAACCGTAATATATATTTAACATGCTACGTTATATTAAATATAGTCTTGATCTAGTAAATTAGTATTACCTCTATTTGAGTTCATATGTACAACTCTTTTTATTAGGGATGAGCAAAAGTCGATTTGAATTGACTAAACTGATTAAAATTGAGTGAATTCGATTGAATTAATTTGATTAATTTGATTTTAGTTATAATCGATTTTTTAAATTGATTAATTCAATCAATTTTTTATTTTTAAAATTGATAATCGAACTAATCGAAATAATTAATTTTTTAATAAATAAAAGTAAAAAAATTGAGATAAATATTTTTATTTTATTTTTTTTGAAAAATATTATTGAAATTATTAAATTTTTTAGTAATTTAATTTAAATGATACTTGAGTTTGAATTTTATTAAATTAAATTTATAATTAAATAATTATTTATAATAAAAAAAATAAAAAAAATAATTATTTAACCTAATAAAATCGATTTTGATCGATTTGATTATAATCAATTATTTAATAATATTTGAATAATTTAATTATTTATTAAATAAAAATTAGTTAAATTAATTATTAATTTTTTCATCGAATCGACCTATTATTAACTCTCACCTTTTACCTCTTTTTGCCCTTTTTTTTTTTTTTAAACCAAAAAAATTACAGTAAAAAAAATGTGGACAAAATAAAATTAAGAAAATAATTGGCAAAAAAAAAAAAGGTTCTTGATATAACGCGTCCTTACGTGGCAATGAATAAGTGGAAAAAATCTATTCGGCAAATACGAATTAAAAAGGGCACGCGGTATTTCTTGAGGCATGCAAATGGACAGGTCAAAACAGAAGATTTCATCTTCGTAGTATCTGACGCCACTGATTGCGAAAGTATCCAAAGAGCGCAACAAAATTTTATACACACCCCCGCACTCTGACTTTATCACTATTTTTTTTTTTGGAAAATTTACCCACGAAATAGAAGGGCCCTGCAGTAAGCCACGAGTCGGACAGGTCAAAACAGAAGATATCATCGACACTTGATTGTAAGAATATCGAAAGGGCGCAACAAATTTCTATAAACGTCGCCACACTCTAACTTTATTCCTCATTTATTCTTCGATAAGTGACCTCTGCCCCCTCTCTTCTAAAATTTCGAAACCCTAAAAAATCTTGTTCTCCGACTCGGAACAGTCTGCCTTCTCGCTGGTAAAAAACCATAATTCCTGAATTCAAACCTTAAATCAGTGCATCTTTCTCTTTATTATTTAAACCCTAACGGAGCTCTCTGGAAATTTGCCTTTGTTTCTCTCTTCTATTTCTCAGGAAAGAAAAGAATGAGTAGCCGTTCGAGCAGGACTCTTTATGTTGGAAATCTTCCTGGTGATGTGCGCGAGAGAGAAGTGGAAGATTTGTTTTACAAGGTTAATAACCTTTTCATCTTTTTTTTTTTTTTTTGCAATTTCACCATTAACTCCTCATTAACTTAGGTTAAATGAAAGTTTTCTTATGAGAAAACACGTAGTTTTGCTGTTTACTTGTGAAGTACTTGATTGGGAGCAAACAAGTTGTCTTAGGTGGGACTTTGAAAAAAAAATATAAATTGCGAATTTATGGTTTGAATTCCGTGCTTGGATTAGATCTTTAGGGAATATTAATTGTAAAGGAATGGAATTATAGCATTAAGACTGCCAAATCAGGTCTACGGATAAAGAAAAACGATGAGAGTAAATGACTGCCAAAGTAAAGACCGCTAATCTGCAAATTTAACCTTTAATCCTGGCTACTGAAATCCAAGGAAATACCTAAATGTAGTTTTACCATACTTTTTTCACGGTTTGGATAAATTCTTCTTTGACTATGCCTGTCAAACAAAGGTTGGCTCTTTTAAAAATGTGGAGTGGAACTACAGTTTCCACTATTGAGTTTGATCTTGCTTGATGGTTTGAATGAATCTCAATATGCTTTTCTTAGATTAGTAGGTTTTCTCTAAGTTATAATCATCTCTTTGTTTTTGTTGCAGTATGGTCCTATAGCCCATATTGACCTGAAAATTCCACCAAGGCCTCCAGGTTATGCATTTGTTGAGGTGAGTTCTAAAGGTGCTGACTTTTCTTTTTGTTGTTTATTTTTATTGTGAGGGGGATACTATTGTTTTTGGGTTTTTGCTTCTTGTTTTGACTTTATATGTATGTATATATATATATATATATATATATTTAGTTTGAAGAGGCTCGAGATGCTGAAGATGCTATCCGTGGTCGTGATGGCTATGATTTTGGAGGACATCGTTTGCGGGTTAGTTACTTTTCTTGCATGTTTAGGTTTTATTTAGCATCTATCCATTGTATAATGGAATTGACTTTGTAGGCTATCTCATGCTTATTATTAATTACAGGTTGAACTTGCACATGGTGGTCGTGGCCGTTCATCCCTAGATCGTCACAGCAGTCATAGCAGTGGTCGTGGGCGTGGACCATCCAGACGTTCTGAATATCGTGGTTTGTTATCTATTTGATGCTCTTTATATCCCTTTGCTATGTATATTAGGCTACTTATGATTTGTCCTTAAATGGATTGCTATGATGTGCAGTCGTTGTCACTGGGTTGCCATCTTCTGCTTCATGGCAGGACCTGAAGGTAAAAGTTGATTTTGGTAATTGTGTCACCCCTCCAAAAAAAAAAAAAAATCCTATAATGTGAAAAGAGAAGGAAGTTAAAACAAATCTTTGTTGTGTGATGTATTTTTCCTCAGGATCACATGCGTCGAGCTGGGGATGTTTGTTTCTCCCAAGTTTTCCGTGATGGTAGTGGTAAGGCACTATGTTTGATGCTCCCAATTGTTGACTGATACTTTAGCTTTTATGTGCAATTTTAGTTAAAATTAGTTGCATAATTGAATTGATCAAAACCATTACAATCAGATCTAGACTATGGGAATGAAAGTTAAACTGCTTTATGATTGTAGGTTTATTTTTATAAGTTGTCTTTTTGTTTTGCAGGGACAACTGGGATTGTGGACTATACCAACCATGATGATATGAAGTATGCTGTAAGTTATCTTTCTTCTTTTGAACTCTTATTGACAGCCTGGAAGACCTACCTTGTCCTAACTTAGTTAATGTTCTTGATTAATAATGATTCTGTACAAAAATTCCTTGTCCTGTTTTGCAGATCAAGAAACTTGATGACTCGGAGTTTCGGAATGCATTTTCTCGGGCATATGTTAGGGTATATGATCTCAACCTAGTGTTCTAGAAACTGAAGGAAGATGATTCATTTTGCCAATTAACATACACACAATTAAAGCTCAGTTGATTTGTTTGCTATATTTTATGCTATTTCTCTCTATTTGCTAGTATTATGTTCCATTTTACTTACTAGACTTTTTATCTTTAGGTTAGGGAATATGATTCCAAGCGGGACTCCTCTAGAAGCCCTAGTCGTGGTCGATCTCTCTCAAGAAGCCGGAGCCGCAGTCGCAGTCATGGTCGGAGCAAGAGCCGCAGGTTTTTCTTTTTCTTTTAGGATATGAAATTTTATTTATGGCTTAACAATTGCATGTTAACCTTGCAAGTGTAATGCAGCAAGTCTCCAAGAGCTAAACCTTTGCGCAAGTCACCTGCAAAGTCAAGATCAAGGTCTCCTTCTCGTTCCCCATTTGCATCAAGGTCCCGCTCTTTGTCAAGGTATGCTTCCTTCCCCCTTTCGATTTGATATGTTTTTGTTGTATCAATAATGTTATTTTGTATTGTTAGTTGCTGGCAGTTGGTTTTACAGATAATAATTTCCTCTGTTTTATGCTTGTGGTCATGGGTAAATGCATCAGATTTGTGTACCGTGCAATTGATTTTTGAATGCATTTGAGGATTCTTTGTTTAAAATGAATCCTCTAAATTAGATAAGTGTATGGCGTGTGACTTGGAAGTTATGATCATTTTGGATTCTGAAAATGAAAAAAAAGCACTGCAATAAGTGCAGGCTTTTGGGAAGCTGAACTATCTCATTTTGCGTAATGAATATTTAGTTTGCCAACTTGATAGAGTTATTTGGTCATACATTATTATTGCCTCTTGTTTCAATATTTGTTCACCAGTGAAAAATTTCTCATTCAGTTGCCCCTTTAACAGATACAGAAAAACACGTGCATCTAGAAATAGATATTGCACACTCCAAATTAACCAATCATTCAGACTTTGCTTCAAACCTTAAATTCTGGATTGTTATTGATATCTAATTAGTTATTATTTCTTTTATGCTTAGTTTCTTGTATATGGTAAAAGGAATGTGTTAGACTTGTTTGTACGCATCTTATTCATGGGGATCTACTTGTGTTATCAATGATGAAATATTTTTAATGCTTTTTGGACTCTTCTCTTGTTGTTGTCAACATGAATTTATGCTTTTGATTACATGCTTTCCTCGTCCAGAAGATGGGTTATATGAGAAACTGGGTCCAGACTGTTTCCAGCTTTTGAACTACGTCCACTTTCTTTATTTTATTATATCAAATTGCCTTGTTTGTCTTTTTAGATGTGGATATGTGCAGCAAACTGGGGATTGGAAATTAGGATCTTGTGGGAATATGGTTCAATTGCATGCAACTCGTTTGGTTGCAGAGGTATGCTGTTTTTTAGATGGGAAACTTTAAAAACCTTCCCTACCCCTTGTCTAATGTACATAGCATCATAAATGTCCATGGGTGCTAGATTGGGAACAAAGGAGACAATGGGCTGCAATAATAGAGCTGGATTTCTTTACAAGGAATTGCAATAGTAGAGCTGGATTTCAGTGAAGTAAATGCATTGGGATTTGCAAGTCACCATCATTGTGCGATAGAAACATTTCACTGTCAATTTCAGCTCCAGATATTTCCAAGCTAATAGGACATGCCATGCTATGTGGGTGGATTACCTGTAGATTTTGGTGGCACAGTAGGGGCGTGCTTATTCTCTATCCACTGGTGTCAAAATATGAAAAATTACTTTTTAAGGATTTCATTTTCTTAGATTAGGTTTTGTTCCTTATGTAGGCAGGTTTGTGAGCTGGTCCTATTCTTTATTTCCTTATTTAATTGCTAAATATTTATGCTTTCTTTTTTATTCCTTTTGAATATGGTGATTCTGACATGGATGGGGCATCAAGGCTCTTGGATGAAAGTTGTTAAAAAAAGGAACGTGTTGATTTTAAACTTGGGTTCTTTCTGGAACTTTTGCAGATCTCAATCAAGATCCAGGTCTCCTTTGCCTTCTGTAAGTGTTTTTTTTTGGCATATATCTAGTCATTTTTTTTTTCAAAATTGAAGATGCTTTTTTTTTTTTGGTTCATCTTTGGAAAATTTGGTTTCTGTCCCATTGTGCAGTTTGTTTGACGAGTTAGTTTAACCTATCTGGTTTGCTGCCCCTCCTTTTATTGGTTAATATTTTTTTATATTTTACATTACATTTAATGGATTCACTGCAGCGTGAAAAAGGAAGGAGTAAGAGTCCCAAACAACACAGTGTTAGCAGGAGTCCAAGTGGGAGTAGAAGCAGGAGTAGGAGCAAGAGTTTATCCAGGTCTTGATCTCATGCTCCTCAATTGTTTTTCGTTGGTATGGTTTCTTATTAGGAGGATGTTGCTTTCATTCCATTGCCAGATAAAATAAAAATGCTGATTTGATTAGTCAAACACTATAACTCTTTAATATCTGTGACGATGCTTGTCCATTTATCTCCAATATTCTCTTATTATAAATTTTCGCTGCAACCTGATAGCAATTCATTTGACAGGTAAGAGACAATTGCTGAGTTGATTTGTGACCCAGAAGCTGAAGAGTCCTATGAATTTTAAGTTCCTATTAAATTACCATGAGCAGTGGAAAACTTATTAGAAGTATACAATCATGCTGGATTTCATATCTAAATTTAGAACATCTGGTGTGTGATCTGTTATTTAAACCATTTTTATATACCTTTTGTTGGCACTTCATTAGAATTGATTGTTGGTTTTTGTGAATTTTGTTGGGATAACAAGGAGGTAAAGGAGAATAGCCTAAGATTTTTAATTCTGGATGAACCTTAATGGCAGCCAATGGCACGTAACGGTTTTCAGTACAATTTTTTGAGATAGCATGAGAAGTACCACCAATAAATAAATTTAGTAGTTAAAAACGTTTATGACCGGTGTCTTTGAACGGTAGCTATTCCTTTTTTCTTTTTTTTTTCCGTTTTATTTGGGAGTGGGTAACTTAAATCTGAATTAAATTTCTAGATGAAGTGGAACTGCAAGTTAATTTTAATCCTCCTTTTGGTTGTTTCTCATTTTAATTTAAATTATTATTAGTACTTTTAAATGTTAATCTATCTTGTTTCTTTCCTACTTCCAATCAAGACGTGGATAAGATTGGTTGCATGCAAGCAAACGAAGGGCAGTTTTTGTTTTTCCGGATTTGATATGAAATTCAGTACGAATATTTACGTTTGTGATCAGATTCATAAAAGTACAGGAGAGAAGTGGCGGTGGCAGAATCATGTCCTGGTGTTGCAGGTTCAAGTTAACGAGTGGGCACGGGAAATGTCAACGTCTATGTGGAGGGATTGGGAAGGAACGGAATTTTCCGCCCCTCCTGGATGATGATTGAAAATGGTGTGTGGTCAGCATCAAGACGAGGGTGATAAAAGTTGTGTTTCCTTTGGTGTGGGAGTAGTGGTAAGCTTTGCTTGGTAAGGAAAATCATCGTTAAGCTTTCCAAAAAGATATATAAAAATGCTAGTTTGGTCCTTCTAATAAATTAAACGATTGATGAAAAAAATCATTTCCAAAGGATCCTACAAGAGAGAAGAATGTGCTTTTCTATTAGCCAGTCTATCATTGCTATAACGTAGTGTGGGTTCAAATTTTGTTGTCTGGATTTTTTTAGGATTTAAGGTATTTTGAAGCTAATGTTTTATAAAAGGGAGGGTTCATCTTAAATTAAAAATTTATATATATTAATTTTTAATTTTAATATATTTAAGGGATTAGATTAATTTTTTTCACTTAAGTTTTTTATTTTATGAAATTAAAATATAAAAAAAGTAATCGTCATAATTAATTATTACTATTATATAATATATCATTAATAATCAATTAACAAATTAAATATAATTAAATAATTTATGTACAATGAAATTTAAATTTAAGTTCTAAAATTTTACTTTCTCTTTCTTGTCGTCAAAGGTTCATTCGTGATCATTCTCTTAAGTCTTAAATCTGCGGCTAAATTAAACGACGCCTCTAGCATTGCAACTAAATTGAGGCTCCAAAATTGACAAGTAGCACATAACCAAGTGGTCGTAAGTAACTGTCCATCCATAAAAAATGCAAACCCCGCGGTCTTACACCACCACAAGGTTCTTTGCCTTGACACCAACGAGCCACCACCTACGGCCTCCTCAGCTTCTCTGAAAGTTCGTTCAGTTCCAAAAGTAGTAAAAAAAGGGAAAAGCAATATTTCCTTGAACTGATATCTGAAGTCCAACAAAACTGACAACCCCCAAACCTGGCCTGAATTCGACCAATTTTAACTCGAGAAAGAAAATAGTAGAAGGAGACACCATAGATACCGAATTTCACCCCTTTGGTTTCCCACTCCCAACAATGGCATCGACGCCGTTCTCAAAACTCCCCTACGACGTCGTTCTAAACATCTTCTCGAAGCTCGAAGACGACTCCAAAAGCTGGGCTTGTCTCGCTTGCGTCTGCACCAAATTCTCCTCTCTAATTCGCAATACCTGCATGAAACAAAAATGCTCCAAAACTATCCCCGCCGTTTGCGCCGATCTCCTTGCCTCATCATCCGCCCCACCCGGCCAGTGGGCCTCCCTCTACAAGCTGTCTGTCTGCTGCCCAGGTCTCTTCCACGCTGGCGTCCTTCTAGAGAACTCCGATTTCGGCCTTGAACGCGAGCTTGGCCCCGACGAGAATTATCATAAGCCAGCTAATTTCCAAGACTCAACGCAGTCCACCGAGCCCTGTTACAGCAGAACGGAAGGCAATCCCAATCCGAATCAGGAAGTGGACGTTCCCGGGTCCCATTGTTCCTGGTCACTTTTCGATGATCTCTATTACGACACCGTTTATAACGCGTCCGATTCCATAGATGGTTATCCTGAACAAATAATGAATAACGGAACAACTAAAATTGAGCGTGAATTTTCCGTTTGCAAAAGAAGGAAGATTTGTAGACCGCTGAGGTCTCATTTAGCATCCGGTATTTGGAATTTAACCCGAGAACGAGGGAATAAGCTATTAGCGAGCCGGTTTCGAGGTGATTGCTTATACATTTGCGATTGGCCGGGATGCGTTCACACAGAAGAGAAGCGAAATTACATGCTTTTCAGGGGCATTTTCAAGAATTTCAAGAACTCTCGGGTGTGGAGGACGATAAATGATGGGAACAGAAGCAAGATTGATCTGAATTGCGCTTTTTGCTCTTGCAAACAGACTTGGGATTTGCATTCTGCTTTCTGTTTGAAGCGGGTTTTCGGGTACCATGACGATGGAGAGCCTGTTGTTCGAGCTTATGTCTGTGAGAATGGACATGTTTCTGGTGCTTGGACTGATTTGCCGTTGTACACTTAGGAGAGTGTATCACATCAAAATTCCTAGTCAGTTATATTTTATTCAAATAAGTGGAATTTGCAATGTGACAAGTACTAAGTAGCAATATTGTGTTTGAGCTTTGATGAAAGAATGATGTTCTTTTCAATTTGGTTTTCTCAGAAGATGAGACTGCGGTGTTTGAGATATGGTTATGTCTAATTTCTTAACTAAGCTTGTTTTAATCCGTTACATTGTATATTGGCATTGAATCAATTAGATTATCGGGTCAGATTGCGTGCACAGCAATTGTTCAATGGGTTGAATTTTCCGTGATTGAACTTTGGGAAATGAAATTTCACAGCTTATGAAATGATGGGAAATTATTTTTGTCTCCATTAATAACAGATTATAAATTATAAAGATGATAGTAGTGGAAGTTGAATTTCAGTCTCTGAACTAGTATTCGTTTTCAGATTTTAATTATTATTTATTCTGCTATTAATCAATTTGTTTGAATGTGCTAATTCAAAGATTAGATATATTTTGGGAAGTAATATGTGTGCCAATGTATAGGTTATTACAGTCTTTTTTCCACTGTGAAAATGGTAGTTTTAAAATAAAACTTTAAAATCACAAATTGAACTTGGCTTTCTGTTTAAGATTTGATTCTTTTGTAGTGAATCTTGTGGTATTAACTGATTGGTCTATGCACAGCAATGGTTTATATCATGTGCAAGAATGGTTGTTAGGGCTTTTTGCATCTAACCCCCTATAAATTAGAACTTTAGGAAATAAAAGGGAGAAATCTGATAAGGGCTTTGTATTGCTTATATAAATCTTGAAAATACAGCTTTGTGTTTGCACCACATTCCTGGTTAGTGCAATCTACAATCGATTGTCTAACAATGTTTGATGCATTTATCTGGATCATGTTTGACCTCTGATGATTGCATCGACCATGATTGCATCTCCAGGAATTGGCCTGGATGTTTTTATTTGTTATGCGTGTCCATTGGTGAAATTGCAGTCCAGAACATGAGGTTTCCAAATTATAGGGTCTAACAGTTACACATACATGTACACTATGATAGCTCTCAATTCGACAGACTATAGTGAAACATACTGTTATTTAGAACAATCGCTAACTTTGCTGGGGAAAAGGAATAAGCAGAAAAAATAACAGCTAAACACCTATCAGAAGAACAGACAATTGCTGATACAATAAAGTCTCGCAGGTTGTATACCTCTTTTATTGCAAACTGTATGAAAATATATGCTTCCTAACGCCAATACCAACATTACTAGGTCTCAAAGAATGTGAACTGGAATTAAAAAAGATCTTGGTTGGCAATGTCTCATAAATTTGTCTGCGCCCGTGATCTTGCTTTTCTTCTAATCGGTGAAGTTGGTATGGTGTCTTTGACAGATCAGATAAAAAGGCGTAATTCAACTCTGGAAGACAACTCGAGGGCAAACTATCTGCTGTTGTATATTGGAAGTGTACTTGTTGGTGTGAGGTATGCCAATTTGAATTTTAGACTATCCTAAGAAGTAAGAGCCATCAGCCTTGAGAGTGTCTGCAATTGATAAGTACTTAGGGACCCTTATCTTTATTATTTTACGTAGATTTCTTTCAGTTGTTCCATTTCGTGTATAATGTTTTCCTGTCCTCGTTCGTCAAATTAAGGAAGGAATGGATCAAATACAAGAGGGTACTTTGTATGGTCTTTCCTGGATGAGTTTGAGTTATTGGATGGCTATGAATCAAGCTACGGCTTCTACTAAGTAGATTTGGAAGACCCGGGTTCGAAGAGACGCCCAAAGCTTTCTGCGCATTGTTAGTCCCATTTTCCCGAAGGAGAAGGCATCAATTCAGATGTACTAACCAAGCTTAAGCGAAACTTCTCTGCTCATAGGCAGAGCCACTTCTTCCAGTAGATTTGGAAGATCCGGGTTCGAAGATATGCCCTGAACTTCTCCGGGTTCTCTTCAACTTCAATACGTAATTGTTATCATAAGATGTTAATTGCTGGTTTCTTAACCACCTAATGCCTAATGGTCAATATAGAAACCTGTCATTTGTATTTTTGTTTTTTGTTTTTTCGAATTTTTCTTGTTTAAAACAAGATTGGAATTTAAATCTAGCAATTTAACTCGCATTGCTCCATTCTTAACATTTGGGCCTGCGTTTTATCCTCTGTTCTAGAATCCTGTTCATTCTTTAAGTTTCTTGAAATTTTCAAAAAAGGAAAATAGATATATCAGACGTTCAAATTGGAGAAATTTGTCACATCTTCCTTTCATTCTCGGCAGAAACGTAGACAATCGTATGAACCAACCATGCAAAATCGGTGGATAAGCATTCGTAGCCAAACTTTGACTTCGATCATCTAAAAGGACTCTTTACAAAGCTACCTCTAACACAAAAATATCCCACATTTCACTCTTAATTCCGCTAGTTGTTTGTCATATGTGTTTTGTCACCATCGAGACTCGATGAACAATATTGGCCTTCCATTGCATTTTGTCTTCATATAATTTATTATCCTCATTTCTTCTGGTTCTGAAATCACATCGGTTCACCAGCTGGGACGTAGCAGTGAACTCTCGGGGTAAAGAAAAATGAAGACCCTCTCTTTCTTGCTAATTATAGTGCTACTAAATTTGGCAGTAGCAGTGCTTTGCGCTGATAAATATAGCAGATATGACTTCCCACCAGGCTTTGTCTTTGGTTCTGCCACCTCTGCTTATCAGGTAGTTTGGTTGTTCACTAGTAATTTTATCTCTTCAATCAAAATTGTTATTCATTATTTTATCTATTTTTACACTTTAAGACTTGGTAGCTAGTCATTGAACAATGATTATGAATAAAAGATCATACATTAGTTATGAAGAATGACAAGGTTTTGACAACATATGGAAGGTGGAGGGAGCAGCAAGCGAAGATGGGAGGACTCCTAGCATATGGGATACTTTTGCTCACTGTGGTTAGCTTCTTCTTCTCTTACTCTAGTACTCCTCTTGAATAATTTAACACACTCACTTCCCAAATCGTTTCTTTTCTTCAAACTTCTGTAAATGGTGTTGGGAGTTGGAAAATTTTGTTAAAACCCCTTTGTTTTCTCATTGCTTCGAGCTTGAGCCTGTTTGTTGTTTCCATTTCATTCTTTTTCTTTGATTCTTTAGACTTGAAGTAAACTTTTGGTTTTGGCTCATATGGCCACATAATTAAATATTCTTACTCATCAGACATCACTAACAGGGTGGTTTAATTAATCTAATTAAACCTACTACAAATTCCATATTTTTTATTCAATAAAGAACAAAACAGATGAAGAACGGCAAACCCCAAACCTCAATTTGGCCTAAGTGCTGCCAGCAAATGAAAAAGGAGAAAGAAACGTGGCAGGGTCCGTCTCTGTTCCATCACCTTCAAGTCTTTGACTCCTTGTTTAGTTTAGGAAAACAAATTATCCATAATTAATCATAAAATTATCATTCCTTTTTTACCCTGTCTTGCATCACGGGGTTTCTATTGAGAATATTGATTCAAATCTTATAAGAGATTTGTTTGGATTTATTTGAGATTTATTAAATATTACTTGATGGACAAGAAAACTTGCAAAAGAAGAATTCTAGCAGAAAGTAAATTATTAATAGGTAAGTTTGACTTGTAAGAGAAGAGTTTTAAGAGAAGAGGGATTCTTAATGATTAATTTGTATGATTATAAATAGTTGAAATCTCTACAAGATTAGGTATGAAAAAAAATAAAAAAGAGTTGAGAGTTTTATAAGATAGACATCTCATAAGAGTATTGAGTCTTCTACGTCTTATGAGAAAAAAGAAGCGACCCCTTCTCTCGCTGCTAGTTGATCCCCATATCTACCCCTCTCCCTTCATCTTCTTGGATCTTGTTAGTGAGATTGATAAAAATCAATATTTTTTTGTATTCTTCTAATTTTTATGTGTATTAAATTACTATAATATGATATATATATTATTTCTTTTATTTATTGTTTTCTTTCTCATATTTCCTTCAGATGAATATAAAATAAAAAAACTCCAGAGTATATTTTTTCATTTCACAGGTCGAGAAACATAAATTCGGTAGCCTAAACAAGATGTCCAAATAAGAACATTCATGCACAGACTGATAAATTATTCATACCAAATGGGTTATAACCATTGATAAGTTGTGAAGAGTTTAACTATAGATAATCTCTTAACCATCCTATCAAATAAGTGAAAGATTTATTAAACTGTGAGACGTTACCCTGCCATAATGTGATGTGTTTCCAATGCCAAAAAAAAGTAACCCATTCAATGATATTTAACATCCAGAAAATTGTCAAATACATCTTATGGGTGTGTGTGTTTGTTTGTGAGTGGATTAGAGGAGACTAAGAGGATCTACATAGGTATGATGTGGATTAGAGGAGACTGAAAGAGTCTATATAAGTATGATATATGGGAGTATATGGGTATGTGTTTGATTATATTGAAAGAGTGTACAAAGATTTGGGTTGAGAATACTTTATAACACTAGAGGAGATTGAGAGTGTTTTATGCGTATTAATTGTTGAGTGAGGTTGATGATTTGATGTATGTTTGTAATTCTCTACAACTAGTGAATCTTGTTTTTCATTCGTGAATGTAGGTTGATTGGACCGAACCATGTTAAATTGTTGTCTCTTATATATTTGATTTATTGTTTGATTTTGCTTCCGTTGATATATTGGAGGCTTTGAGAGCAACAATTCCTAAGTCCAAAAGTTTCTGTCTCAGAGTATAAAGATTTATTTGTTTTTAATAATGATAAAATGTATGATTTAACAAGTAATTTCACAACTACTGAAAAAATTTCAGGGTATGCTAATGGAGCCACAGGAGATGTAGCTGTTGATCAATACCACAAATACAAGGTGCATGAAATAAGCTTTTTAATTCATGACTTTTCTTACATTGCTTTTAATTCCATATATTCCTGTGAATGAAGAAACCAACTGTTTTTCTCATATTGCAATTTTCATACTGGCTAGCATCTTGGACCATAATGTCACCATGGTTATATGACCAGGAAGTTGCAACTAACTATTGTTTGTCCATTGTCTAAGTTTCAAGTTTCAGCTACACCAAACTGAATTCTGTTTAAGAATGGTCTAAATGTAATTATGCTACTATTCTTTTTTATTTTCAGGAAGATGTGAAACTTATGGCAGAAATGGGCTTAGATGCCTACAGGTTTTCCATCTCCTGGTCAAGACTTATCCCAAGTATGATTTTCAAATTTTTGTTTACTTATATTAGCCAAAGAAGGATACCATTTCCCAGCTCTTTCTTCACATTTTATCATACCTTTACGTTTCAGATGGAAGAGGGCTTCTCAATCCAAAGGGTGTTCAATATTATAACAACCTCATCAATGAACTAGTCAGCCATGGTTGGGACAAACTTCGCTCAATATCTTCAGTAGTTAGAAGAAGTTTTCATGTTCGAAGTTGAGCAATGCTTGCCAGAAAATATGCTCGAGTATTATTTTAAATGATATCTATTTGACTTGACTATGCAGGAATACAGCCTCATGTTACTTTGAACAATGCTGATCTCCCACAGGCACTTGAAGATGAGTATGGAGGATGGATTAACCGAAGAATTGTGTACTTTTATTTGAACTTATCTTTTTAATTTGCATTTCTATGTTTTTCTGTATTTTAGGCTCAATACAGTTCAAAGAAAGTGAATGAATCAATTCGTCAATGCAGGAAAGACTTCACCGCCTATGCAGATGTGTGCTTTAGAGAATTTGGGGACAGGGTTTCATATTGGATTACTGTGAATGAGCCAAACGTCTTTGCTATTGGAGGTTATGATCAGGGAGTTGTTCCTCCTAGGCATTGCTCTTCACCTTTTGGAGTAAACTGTACCAGAGGCGACTCCTCGTCTGAGCCATACATAGTTGTTCATAATATATTGCTGGCACATGCATCAGCTTCAAGATTGTACAAGAGAAAGTATCAAGTAATATCTAACATCTAAAGTTTTATCAAGCATCATTTTAACTTTCATTTTCTGTTAATGCTATGTATTTATTCTAATAAATCGATTCTAGCAACAAGAATTCTGCTTGAGGCTCTAGCATCCCATTTTTATAATCAATAAGGAACTGGGAATTTATTTCTGAAAACTAATTTTGTCTGAATGCTGATTTGCTGCGCAAAAATTCTCCAAAAATGTTAGTTTTCACTCAATGCTGTTTCAATGCCAGAACAGATAAAGTACTTTAGGATGAGAAACAACTCAGGTAATGCCCCTTATAAGAGTAATATATGATAATGCAGGAAAAGCAGAATGGATTCATAGGCATTAGCATCTATACATTTGGGGTTGTTTCTAGTACAAACTCAACAGAGGATGCAATGGCAGCTCAAAGAATGAATGACTTCTATATTGGTTGGTAAGTCCTATACGTAAGGTATTTTTAGGAAAGCATGTATGTCTAAGGGACAAATTTTGAAAATTGTCTTTTCTGTTTGAATATTGATTTTTACACTATATCTAGATGAACTTCAATACTACTAATTTCCACCTATTGGTATTTTTATGGGGTTTGGCAAATTTATTCTAGCTTTAGTAACATGTGTCTGTGTTGTACTTCAGGATTGCGAATCCCTTGGTGTTTGGAGATTATCCTGACATAATGAAGAAACTGGTTGGCACCAGAATTCCTGCTTTTAGCAATCATGAATCTGAACTTGTTAAGGGTTCGTTTGACTATTTTGGAGTAATACATTACACAACATGCTACATCCAAGATGACCCTGGCAGTCTGGCATTGAAACAAAGAGACTTTAACATAGATGTAGCTGCAAAGATAATGAGTATGCTATATAAATCTCCTTGCTAAATTGGATTTACTTAGTGCTTTGAACCATTGACTCATCTGAGATTAATTGCATAAATAGTCCTAGATTCAATGAGTCAAGGGAATATTCATAAGGTACATGCTAATGCATTCTGTTTATGGCAGACATGGGGGATATTTTCTTGGATTCTGAGGTGGGTTGCAAGATATTGTTACATCTGTTTATTCGTTTGCAATTGGGGCTTTGAATTAATAATCAGCTTCCTTGCTCAGTTTCCAATATATCCTTGGGGCCTACAGGGAGTGCTGGAGTATGTCAAGCAAATGTATGGCAATCCTCCTGTTTACATTGTTGAAAATGGTATTTCTCTCCCTCTTTCACACAGAAACTTAAATGTGTGCACCTACTTGTCTGTGTAGTTGCTCTTTGAATTGGATATCCATCCTTTCTCTTTCTTGAAGTGAAAATCATATCGAAATCAGCATTTTTTTGCTACATTATGTCCATGAAACATAATTTCCAAAACTCTTGACTTATTTGTTTTATAATGACAGTGTTTCTCGCCAAGGGTTCTCAATTGAAAACTTAATGTTATAAAAGTATTTCCTGAAATACAGGTAAATTAAGTAAAAACTGTACAAGAGAAGAAGAATATCTGCCTCCTATCTATTAAGTATGCAAGAAAAACATGCAAATGATCTTAGCTATTTCATAAAAAAAAGGACAATGCAGATAGAGTAGATTAAGCTGAAGCTTACAGCAATAAAAAAGCAGCAATTTCCTGGGAATGATAAGAGAGTGGTGTTCTTTATTGTTGTATTTATGCCGTTATGCAGACGCTAGTTGATTTTTCAATGAAACATAATGGCTTCTATATAATACTAGCTCTCAATTAGAAAGACAGAAAAAAGACATGATGATGAAATAAGTACTTGGACTTTAAAACTTAAACAAAATACTTCGTATTGGTGAATCTTCGGAAATGACTGAATAAACATGTACCAGAAGATGGTAGATGGGCATTAAGCAGACAATAGACGAAGCAATTAGTAACTAATGGAAACATAAGATTCCCAACTCCAAAACCGCTAGGCCTCAAAGGATGTGTATTAGAATCTAAAGATTGGGATATCGATACTCAAACAATATATATGTATTTCATTGATCCTGTCTTTTCATCTAATTGGTGAACATGGCATGGTGTCTGGGCAGGTCAGAGAATTCGGCGCAATTCAACCTTAGAAGACACGTCGAGAGTGGAATATCTGCATGCATACATCGGGAGTGTGCTGGACGCAGTCAGGTACACATATTTAGACAAACTTCTAGTCAACACTCAACAGCCTTTGCATGAGATATGTGTTTTAATCATTCTTTGCAAATCCTATTATGGAAGGTGATTAAAGTTATTGAATTTCCCCTTTTTTTATGTTTGTTTTTCAGTCTGAAGTTTTTCTTTGCTCCTTCTGTTTTTAAATTTTCAAAGGAATGGATCGGATACAAGAGGCTATTTCTCATGGTCATTCCTAGATGTGCTGGAGATACTGGATGGTTATCGATCAAGTTTTGGCTTCTATTATGTAGATTTGGATGACCCGGATTTGAAGAGACAACCAAAGCTTTCTTCATATTGGTATTCCCATTTTCTCAAGGGAGGAAGTGTCAGCCCAGACAAAGTGATAGAGCTCAAGACTAATTTCTCTGCTCTTTCCCATGGCCATTTCTTCCACTAGGCTTATCTCCTCAATTTCCTTATTTTCAGCTGTCCTTTAGCGAACTTATTTCTCTAAATGCTCTTCAACACCAATGTACAAAATCTACATGCATAAACAGGTTTGTATAAGCACCTAATGGTCAAGATAGAACTCAGAAACCAATCCTCTAAATTTTTTGTTTGCCATTTTACTTTTCATAGTTCTCCAATGTTGTCTTAAACAAGATTAGAGCTGGAATCTGGCTATCTACTTTAAGAGAAAATATAATAAAACATAGGAGAGCAGGATACCTACCCTGTATCAAGTTTCCTTGTCTCATCTGGACTAAACGTTTTAACCTCAAGTATGGAAATTCTTAAAAATGTGATTGACAGACTGACAGCCTTTATTCTTTGTTTTGGAATCAGATTTCCATATCATATATCCCTCCTTTAGGTTAAGTTTTGATTCATAGTAAAAGATTCGAGGTAAAGAAAAATCTAAGGAGAAGAAAAGAAAATTACTTATCTGTTTGGATGGTATGAGAAAAATCTTAAAGAAATTGTGTATTAATCCATTATCACGCAAGTTTTTAGTTTTTATTTTTTATTTTTTAAAAATGGACAGTTAGTATAATGAGTAGTACACTTGTGACCGAGAAAACCATTGCATGATGGCCAAGTAGAAGAAAGACAAGCAGAGGGAGATGCTGACAGCCGGAGTCTTGACAATGATTTTTGTTTTTTTTTTTTTTTTTTTTCTCGAATATTGAAATGGGGAAAATTTTTTTCAACTTTAAGTAAACATAAGTTACAAAATCTCAAATATTCTATTTTCTTCTACTCAAAATTTCCGTGGATCAAATAGAATCTTTGTTTCTTCATTTTTAAATAACTAAAGTATAAGAGATAAATCACTGAATGGGTAACCTATATATTTGAGAGACAAGATTTTAAAATCTATAAATTTTTTAATGGGAAATAGTTTCGAAAGCTGAATATAGATTGAGGTTAAATAAGATAATATTGATTTAAATAAAAATTTTCGAATTTATAAGTTTATAAAATACAAAAAGAAAAGATAAATTAAAAAATTTAAATATATACAACTATATAAAATACAAATTCATATCTAAATTTAATTTCTCATATTTAGCTTTTAAAAAATTTCAAGGTCTGCCTGTGACTGACAAGACAATTTTGACAAAATCAACAAGGACAAAGTTTCTTCAATGCTCTCATCTTACTGTCGTCTTCATGTTAGTACTAAACAAGCATGGAAAAACAGGCTGATACGGATTTGCAAACCCAACCTTTGACTTTGACTAGGATTCATATCCAAGCAAATTTGCTGTAATCTACAAAATTGGGCAGAGTTCATCAATTCTTATGGTTCTCCTTTCATGTCAGTCATAAATTCAGATGCAATCATTTGAAGCAAACATGGACAAACCAATTGACAAGCATTTGCAACCAAACTTTGAATGGATCATCTAAGCAAAATGCCAATGGATGAAGCTCCTAGACCTGTGGCCAGAATCAGATCTAGATGTAGGATGATATGAACCCCAACCTGACACCCTTGATACGATTGGGAAATGAGATAGACGCTCTCTTACCAGAGCACTACAGTTATTTGGATTAAAGCTTTCTGCTTCATGTAGGTTCTGTCCTGATGAACTTGATGGAGGATAGATATAGAAGCTACCGCTTTGATCAGGTTGTAGGATTGCTGGGGCTACCGGGGCCAAACCTCTTCTCATACCAGGAACTACAGGAGCAGGCACACCAGGTCGATTGAAGTGCTGTTGATTGAAACGATGTTGCTGTCGATAATAGGCAAGAGATACCTGGATTCTATCATAGGTATGAGCACCACTGCCTGGATGACGAGGAATAACTGAAGAGACAAACGAACTCCCACCTCTAGAACTGGACCTAGGAAGAGTAAACAACCATTTAGTTTTCCAATGATCAACAGCATTCACGATAAAAAGAAAATAAGGCAAGTGACTCTTTTTCCAATCATGTTGGGTATTTTGAACAAAAGAGTACTGCATTCTTGAATTCATAGACTGAATTAATCACCGTGGGCTCATAAACAAAGAGAAGTTATCTTCCTATGGTATTTAACACAAGTAAACTTGGCTTTTATGAACACCTATAACATGATTACATCACAGACCATGTACGGTAGTACATAGAACCGGAGAGCATTATCATGACATTCGCACCCACCCCACTCCACCCCCCCCCCCCCCCACACACACACATGTGTGCGACTATTTTCACATCCAACAATTGACAACATGACTGTCATGTTTCAATAATCACTGCCACTAACAATCAGGTATGTATGCAAACTCATCTTAGCTGGCACCTTACCCATACTCAAAGGGAAAGGGATGTGGAAACGATCTGGGTCTAGTGAAAGCATCAAGTTCACCATTGAAAGATCTCAGAGCTGCAGCTGGAATAGAAGCTGGATCAGTATTGCTGATATGGCTATCAGAGACAGAGATATTTGGAGAATGCCAGCCCCAACTATGATACTGGATGCTAAAGGTGGGCAAAGCATAGGGAATAAAAATCTCATTGTGTCCAGAGACGATATTCCAATGGCGATTAAAGTTGGGATCATCAACACTATCACTAGATCTTAGAGTTGTGGATGGACGTGGTCCAACATATGCAACATATGAATGAGCCAAAGACGAAGCAGCAGTGTGTTCAGCAAACATACCATGTTGTTCATGTATTTCATGATCTACATGAAGAAGAAATTTCATTTTTGTGTCACATAGTTGTTGCCTCATTTAGTCACCAGAGAATTGGGATGCAGAAAGTATTGTAATCATAAAAAAGCTTACATGTAGTTGATGGAGATTCCACTTCCCTGAAAGATATAATAAAGCATCAACATGTCAGAGAGCAGCAAAGTTTTTATCAAAGGAACTGCCAAACATTTTCAGTAAATAGACAACAAGATTCTTATATAACTGCTTTTCCATCCTGTTTTACAGTTCCGCCAGGGTGAACAGGAGAAATGAGAGATTGACAGCATAAGAAAATAACTGCAATAGCTGAACCAAACGGAAGTTCAAAACATAAGAAGAAACTAGTAAGAAAGTTTAAACTTGCACAACATTCATCACTCCTTATAATCCTTCCAATAAAATATAAAACCTAGTACTCAGCAACCGACAATTTTTTAGCTACCGTTCCTTTAAATGAATTTATCTTATCTGTCCAAGGAAAATATATCTACATAAGATTCTCAAAGAAATTTTCTAGTAGATGCAAATCCGTTGCTTTTAAGAGTCCAGGATTTTAAAAATGTAACAAGTTCTAAAGAATTGGTGGCAATAAAGCAATAAGCTATTTTCTGCAACTTAACCAGTTCAAGGAAAGATGGAACCACTTCAACCTTATTAGTCTAGTACCCCAAATTAGTTAGAAAGAAAAAATTCAACTAGAAACTCGCTCTCAGAGCAAAGAGGTTGTAATTATCTTGGGGATAAAGAAATCAATGTCCATGGAAAGGAGGAACAAGGTAAAGATATGTCAACCAAGAATTTAAATTGCGGTCGTGGATGCGTTTGCATTCCTACCGCGTTTATTGCGATTGCAGATATAATGGAGATCATCGTAATTATTGTGATCATCATAGTCGTGAATTTTTTTTAATTTTGCACAACTTGTTATAAAATATAATAGTTATAATTATAATTATAGAAACTATTATTTTATTATTTTTAAAGTGATTTATGACATTTTAATTCTTTTATTTATAAGTCAAAATATTTTATTCACATTTTGTAGTTATAACTTAGAATTAATATGAATATTTAAAATGCTTTTCATCAATATACCCATGAAATTCATTGACATAAATACTATAAATACATAAGGTTGAAAATAATATCTTATATTAAGTTAACATCATGATTTAATTTAATTAGAAAAATATTGATGAACATTTTAACTATTTTTTTTTATAAAGCATGATTATTAAGGGAAGATGATTAAAATCTAACTTTTTGAGTATAGATAAATATACTTTACAAGTAGATCAAATATTCAAGTGAAATAATTAAAATAATTAATTAAATCAAAGTAATAAAATAATTAGTAATTTAATATTTATCGACTCATAAAAAATACAATTAATAATAACATTACTGTTATCGAAATTATAAACAAATTACTAATTACTTTTAAATGATTATACGTGACTAAATGCATAAAAATACAAAAAAAAAAAATTCACTAATTAACAACTTACATTCCCGATTAAACTTTCAACTAAATTATCAAAAAAACTTTTAAATATTCAATTTTTCATCAATCATTTGCTTTTCTCTCTCAAATTTTCACCTAAATAAATATATATATATATAATTATAAGTTTTAGATGCCACACATGAGTTACCCAAAGCATTCAAATTTCTCACCTAAGTTTTAAGGTAAAAAAAATAAACAAATAAAAATTCTATTATTGGTTCAGCTTAACCAAAACCTACCAAACGCTCCCACTTTCTTCTCAAAATTCACAACTATGTTTCTCCTTCACTCTAAATCACTTTGTCTTTCTCTTAAAATCCATCAGTGGCTAGATGCTCAGACCTCCCTAACTCATCACCCACACCTCCTATGTCTCCTAAGTCCTAATCTCTTCTAAGTTCCACTCAGTAACTTTGCCTTCTTCCTCAACCCAAGCGGCTACCTAAACCATTACTGAAGCCAAGCTCCTCATCCTCCCATCTTGACGATTATGAGGATGTTTTGCTTCCTCTCAACTCTCAAGATCTGAGGTAGAGTGGCCATGGATGAACCCAAAAGCTAATTTGTAGAAATTTGCTGAAATCAAGTCCTTAAACTTGCAGAAATTTAAAAGAAAAAAAAGGTAATTTTTTTCCTGTTAACTTCAACATGTTCTTTGATATTGATTGAGGTTCATATTTGCCGATTCTTCATCGAGGAGGTGTTGTTTTGGATTTTTTTTTCATGTGAAATTTTGTGATTGATGAAAAAAATGGGTTTTTGATTTACACTTTGGATTGGGAAATGGTGGATGCGGCTGTAGCGTCCCGCTATTGTCTGCTACACCTATATTTTGTGGCCGCAAGACGCTGTTATGGGCAGGTATCCCATTCTCACCCAAATTTCGGGCATGTAGCCGAGGTGGAGGGGACCGAAACTGTGAAATAGTGGCCGTGACACCACTACACTGCCACTATTTGAATCCCTGATTTCAACATCAGAGAAAACTATTCCAAATATGGAGCGATATTATTGTAACCAATTATGTTAATATAATCTTAAAGCACTAAACAACTAAAAATTCAAGAGAATATAAGCTTAACAGTTGTGCAATCATAGTACAAAAAATTGGTCAAAATGAAATCAATATAAAAAAAAAAAAGAGAGATCTTGCTTACTTACTCAGAAGATGAAGCAGTTCTTGTAAATTCACCAAATGGACACCATTGAGCCCTAAATGGCTGCAAAAAAAAAAAAAAAAGGGGGATAACACAATGTGATCACAAAGATCATATCAAGAACACATTGTGAGCAAGAATTGAACCAACACTTTTAATAGCAAAGAAAAATAAAGATGCAAAATACAAAAATATTTGGCACCTATATAACAAGTTTTGTAATGGAAAAGAAATAAGAGCCCACATTCATCATACTATTTTAGAATTGAAAGGAGTCTTAATAGTCTTACCACTATTCTTATTTTATTTTTTTAACAAAGAAAACAGTATATCTTTAAAAATATATCACTCAAAAGAGATAAGTTGCCGGAAATTTCAGTGATGAAAAGGACAGGGTTTAAACGAATTTGACATTTTTTAAACTTGTCTTTATGTGAACACTGAAGCCTATATTTATATATTTTAGAGACTAAGACATAAAGAGCAGCATAAAGATGAAAAGGCATATACAATATCGCAAGCCATAATCTGCATCTACATAAAAGACTACGATTTTAGGTATGCCATTAGACACATGTCAATATTTCGAAAAGATAATTTCTAGTCCAAGTTAAAAATGCAGCTATATTAATTGTGTAAGTTGAACGATGTGTGTTTTAAGATAACAAATGACGATACCAACTAATAGAAAACATAGGAGCTTTGTTATACCATTTCAGAATAAACTGGATCATAATAATTATAATCAAGATGCCAGTCCTCCGTGCTTAGCTCAGGAAGTGATCGGGTGGAGCCATTTGCATACCACCATCGGCCTTTTTCAACCTTCCTGCAATTTGGACATTGCATAGCCCCCTTCATATTAAATGCCGAACCAATGCAATCTGCAGAGTATGGGTCATAAGCAGCAAAATCAATAATAACAGAAGAAGTGTATCTGTCAAACAAAAAGACAACAAGACACAATAAAAAATATAAAAGCATGGTTCAAGCAGAAACTGTAAATGCGTGAAGTTTGCTTCATTTATAAATTTCTTCGGCCTTCACCCCTTAGCTTATCTGACAAACTTCAGAGTCCAGCCTAAAACTTATCAGTCCTTTTGAATTGAAACCCATTGATCATGGATTCCATATATTAAATTGACTAACATTATCCGCCTAGACTTCTGTTATCATAATTTCATTGATAATAACCCAAAATTTGCATAAATCATCAAGTAGTTTATCTTATTTTGCTTTACAACGAAATCAAAACAGATGAGATGTTAACAAGCAGTAATCCAACTTAAAATATAATCTTTTACCAAAAAAAACTTGAATTTTAAAAAATTAATGATAAAAACAGCATAATTAAGAAAACTGAAAAATACCCAGATGGAATTCATGACCACATTGGAGCTTAGCCCTGGATCTGCCGCCGGTATCGGAAACCAAATCAAGGCAAATCGAGCATGAGAACTCAGATGATGTAGGTACAGAATGATTCCCAGCACGACCGTCCATCAGTTGATGATGATGATCATGATCAAGATAACGATCAAGCTGAGAGCCATTAGAGCCCACCATTCCCTTCTTTCACCACTCAGCGATCACAAAGGCATAAGGGGAAAAACAAAGAGTCCAACCAAATTGCCAAAAAAATCCGAAAGCGACAAATTTCAATCTACTCTCTTTTTCTTCTTTTGGTTGTCTATCTGGCGTGTGTTTGGTTTTGAATGTGGGGAATATCTATCTGATGTTTCGGTGTCCAACGTGTCAGAGTACGCGGTCGGGACTTTTAACAGTTTTATACGAACTTTTGTCTTTAAAATACGGTGTATTAAATACCCTCCTTTTTCACATCGACAAAAAAAAAAAAAAAACTAAAATGTAATAATCTCTTTTTATTTAAATTTAATTGACCCTCTTTCATTAGACTATGTGTGCATTTTTTTTTTTTAAGCATCATTGCACTCTGTTTTTAATGTGGTCGTTTGTCACCTGAACACCTACTTATTTAATATTGTCAAATTTACTTTTATAAAATAAAATTATTAAATATTAAATCTTATTATTAAAATAAAAATTTTAAAATTTTATTAACAAAAAATTAATTATATTTAGAAATAAAAAATAAATTTTCTTTAAAAAATGATTTCGCACTATAAAAATTAATCAAGCTTTTGAGATGTAAAAATTAACGAAGACAATTTGAAACATAACAGTAATTAAACAGTTTATTTTTTAAGTATTTTTTTATTCCTTGGTTTCAAATTTCTAGTAATAATCTTGGATCAACCATCAAATAATTTAATTCCCAAGGCCCCAATTGGACTTGATTGGATAGTGGCGTAATCATGATCTAGTTTGATTTACAAAAGAAAAACTTTGCCAACAAACTATATTAAGCAAATTTCTATATAATAATTTCTTCAACATGTACTTAATTGTTTTCGCACAATAATTTCTCTTGCTTTTTTCACATTGACATGCAAACAAAAATAAGTTGTCAGTCTTAATTTATTTGTATCTGGATCTAGATGAGGAAGAATCGCTAACCTGAATACAGCTACTTGATCCTGAATTATGAAAGAAAACAATAATTTATTTGCTAAGTTTATTAAAGAAAAACAATAATCAAAGAATTTAAGGGCTGCTGGGCGCAAAATGGTGAAAGAGCGTCACACATTATTCAGATAAATGATGGACAAGATACGACAATGTTTTCTGCTCTAAACGTTTTGTATATTGAATAATATAGTAATTCAGTCAATGTAGAATGTAATGCAAGTAGCTTGACAGTTGAGACTGAATTAGATCAAAGTGTTCACCCACTTTCCAAGTGGATCAATGTAAGATTAGGGTTTAATTCTTGAATTTTTCAGTAAAACGAAAATCAGAATCAAATATTGCTAATCTTCCATTCCACATGACTGCTTCTGTCTGTGCCAAGACCATTGAACTTGAAGCACCAAGTTAATCCAGTGTCAATTTCCTATTGGTTGCCAAATACAAAATATATCCCTTATCCACTACAATGCTTCAGCATTCCAGTAAAATCCACTTTATTTCCTTATATCCTTAAACCCTCCACTTTCTGTTCCATCCATCCACTTATTCTATATTCTCCCCCATCTAAGCAAATAGATCACCACTTCAGGCAACATCCCATTGTACTTCCCCAGATCATTGACCATTGGCTCACTCTCCAACTTGCCATGGATGCACTTGTGCCTAGAGGGACTATGTCACAACCCTTGCATTCTGTTTTGAATGCTGTCCATCCCTCATTTGGCTCCCATAAACCAGTCTTTGCCTCATACTATTACCCTTAGGCTTCGTTGGAACCTTAGCTTAACAATAACTCTTCCTGATTGTATCTGTATATTTTAATGACTTGGCCTTGAATAATACCACATATCTGGTGCATTGGATGTATGAATCAAACAACCTCAAATAACAACTGAAATTACGTCCAACTTAAGAAGATAAAAAGCCCTTTCCCATTTTATAGAACTAAAAATCACCAAAAGTAAATTGTAAATGATGGGAACAGAAATCAAGCTATGTAGTTTAAGACATTCAAGTATCCACAATAACCCCAAACTTATAAATCCAGCCATAGCAGTTCAAAGTTCTTCAAGTAAGATCACCTGCAAAACTATGATCATAAAAAGAAATAACTAAAATGAACCTTCATTTCACAAGTTTAGTGCCTTTCTTTTACTTCAAGCAGGCTTATCACTGATAAAGCATTGATGAGAAAATTATTTAAGCAATCGCATGACAGATTAAACAGAAAATATTCACTTGAAAAAGAATAATTAAAATATTAGACATCAAATACATAAGAATATATAAAATGTGCTTATTTACACCAATATACAACATCAAGCATTATTGGCAGTGCAGTGTGCAACATCATGGTTAGTGGGTAACTAAAAAAAGGTACACCCACTGTTGTTCGATTCTTTATTTTGAGGCCCATAATAGGATTAATGTTTGATCTTGGGCCTCTTCATGATCATCACAGAGCAATGAGCATGATGAGCACAATAATCACTCACACTACCAAGAACAGCCCTGAAATAGAATATATGATAACTTGTTAAAAGCTGTACTGAAATAAATTTAAATTGTGAAAGTATATTTAGAGATGTCTTTCTGTTTTTTTGAGTGCTTTTTCATGCGTGTGGCAAAGAAAATCAAGTTGAAATTATTGGGAAGAACTCTTCACAACAAATGAGTGAAAGTTCAATGAGAGGAACTACAAAGCGAGAATGAAAAAAGCCGGTTTATAATCTGCAAGATAATATAGCAGAGCTACTCTCAAGTGTCAACACTGATATATCATGATTGTAAATCAGGTCAATGAACTAGGCCTAAGAATAAAACGAAAGTTTCAAATTTGCCACTGACCTTGTGGCATAAGGGCACATTCCTCCTTGCATGATGCAAGGAGTGGGGAGAAAACTCAAAACTCCTAGTTTCAAACTCGGTAAAAGGAAGAGGGAAAACAATAACCTCCCATTGCCTAGCCCACCAAATAAACCAAAAAAATAACACGAAAACAAAAAGATCTTATATATAGATGCATTAGCTCATTTGAGAATTCCTCCCCACAAAACCAAACTAGTCATCAATTTTCAGGAAGTAAGATTCATTTAGTGATTTTGAAACTTAATAAATTTTAGCTAAAGAGAAAGAAAATATTAAATGGCTCATCATAAAGTTCCCAATCTTTATCTCAGTATTAGAGATTAGATATATGCTTACCTGTTTATAGCTCCATATCTATGGCGGCCGACAACAAGTATTGAGGCATGGTGTTTTTCTACAACCTCCCAAAGAACATTCCTGGCATCACCTTCCACCATTTCAACTATGGCATCATTTACCTGCATAAAACCTAAAACAGTTAGATTGGCTGCTAGGAGAAATGTGTAGTAGATAGCTAATACCCCTTTTGTATTAGGCTAAAAAGATAGTTTGAACTCTGAAGTCCGGAACTTGACCGTCCAATAAATTACTAAGAGAAATAACATGGTTTCTCATTTGCTTGATATAAGAGTCATAGAGTTATATCAATGAAATGAAAACGTAACAGGAATTTTCAACCATGTCAGAGAAATATCAAATATCATCGTCCAAATATAACTTTATTGACCTCAAATTTATGTGTCTAATCTCAAAATATCTAAAATTTTCTAACAACTGCTACTATTCTGTAGTTCCAATTTTCTACATGGAAATAACCATTCTGATCTTAATCATACACAAAGGAAAATCAGAAAATTAACAAATAGCGCAAATATAATCATAAATACCGATTTACTAAGGCACAGTTCCTAGGCCTTCTCTACAACCTTGGCAGCTATCTTCTTCAAATCCGCTTCCATATACGGTAAGACATCAGCAGCTCCTATAATTATAAGTCAATATGAAAATTACAGCATACCTTTAAAAAAGTAAACTCCAAAGAACTTGGTAAATCAGTATCAGAGAGCGCTCACAAGTCAAATATCTGTCCAGCGAGACCAACAGCAGAAGAAGCATAAGGATTAGCATGAACGATAAAGAGCTTGAAAGGAGGATTGGATGCGAAAGGAGCAAAGAAGTGATCAAGCGTCCATTCCAGCCCGTACATACTGTGCTCGCTATCGTCGATGCCACCCACCATGACTTGCTTTTCCGACGTCGCCATTGCAGCTCTTTAGTCCTGTATCGGAATCAAGGGTCACCTTTTTTTCTTGGGTTTTGATGAAGTAGGTGGAGAAAGTAATTTATTCAGAGAGACCAAGAAATAACATGTCAAAGTTAGGCTTAGAATAAGGAAGATCCAACTAGATTGGGTTTTGGTGCTTATCCGTAAGCAATTAATGACAAAATCATTTGGCATTTGCCTTCTCAACTAAACAAATCGTTCAATTTTCCGCCGCCATCGTGTTGGGATTGTGGTGATGATTTGTTCGTGAAGTGTAAATGCCATAATGCCCACGTGGGATCCGAGGCAACTTAGTAATTTCAAACGGGATACAATAATATGATAAAAAATATATAAATAAAAATATAAAAATAATATAATTTAAAATTTTAATAAAAATCACAATTAGATTTAACAAAAATAAAAATAAAATTATATTTTCTTCTTAACACAAATTATAATATATAAATTTTTTGTAAAATATAATATAAATATATAAATATTTTATATTTTATATGATATCAAATTATCATATATATATATATATGCGGTCTTAGAAAACATCATTGGCCCAGTGGTTCTTGGGCTCACCCTAAAAAGGCCTTCTTCCAACTCACTTTAATGGACCCTTTTGTAGCCCGACTGAAAGGAAAATCAGCCGCAGTTGATGGGCATGGGCTTCTCCACAAGCAGAGACATAATGGTTAATCATACGCTCGAATTACCTAATATGTGTTACTATGTTAGTAACAAAAACAAAAACAACATTTTACATGTGTTATATTAGCCAAAGAAAAACAATTAAATGTGTTGGAGGTGTATATATATATATATATATAGAGTTGAATTAAATTATCAAATCATGATTATTACTATTTTCACCAAAGCAATTCGTAATGATGCCCAAAAACACTCTTAATCAAGTTGGTAAGCCAGGATTATATTTTTATCGTCACTTTGAACATTTCTAGTAGTTGGTTTACAACTACAAATAGACTAGTCTTTAAATAAAATATATTTGCCTAATGATAACACTTTTGGAAATTGGAAAATGCTTTAAACCGCGTAGAGTAGTCGACAACATCTAGTGCCTCTTCCACTGACTCAAAATATGGTTTGCCTTTTGGTTTTGGTCCGTTCATAAAGTAAAAAAACTATTAAATATAGTAGTATTCTAAATTTGTCATGTCATAATAATAATAATGCTGAACATGATGTAGCCTTGCGTAGTTAAAAGTAGACATTGAAGTTTAAATGGTTTATCAACCACCCACAGAGCCGGGGTCAAATTTTGTATATGCACCGCGGTTTTGTGCTAAATTTTTGAGCACTTTAGTTTGATTTCATTGCTTAAATCATACTCCAATTAGTATTAATTGAATGGTTGAGTAGTGATCGGCTCTGGCAGTGACCTTGATGCTGATAAAAATTGATGTACCATATTTCACATGATTTTTGTTTCAGTATCAACTTTATTTGGCATCTGCTTTTTGAGGTCTTTTTTTTTTTCTCATGAATACCAATCAACTTTTTCTATTTGTGAATTTAGCTAACCATCCAGCCAATACTTGACTTTTTTAAAGCACGAAAGTGTTCAGTAATTTAGGGACCTTGGAAAACAAGGCGAAAACGGAAACTTGAAGTACGTTTTAAAAAAATTAATTATATCTTGTAATTTTTCAATAGTTGCACTAACCGAGTTATTCGTTGACGCAATATTATTAATTTGGACTATTATAATAGTCCTAGTAGTAATTAACTAAAACTCAGATGACTGGTAGAGCTGAACTGGTGAAAGGGTTTAGTATTATATGTCTGAATTCTTGTGATATACACTGAAATGGTAACAAAAAAAAAAAAGGAAAAAACAAAAACAAGCACTATATCTGCAGCTGTAGATGAATTGTCATAGGCCGAGAGATTTCCGAGAAATTGACTTTTTCCACACTCACCATTCCCATCTGTCCATTAAATGCGTGCCATTTCGGAAAAGAGTGACAGAAAAAACAGCCAAAATATCAGATAATAACTAAAACTAGAATTACTGATCCTCAGTTCCATGTCTTCTTGAATTACGTTGCAGTCTTTTTTTTTTTTTTTTTGGTGTTATTCGATTCTATTTCTACCTGTGTAAGTTGATTGAAAGAGAGAACGGGATACCTATGTAAGTTGATTGAAAGAAAGAACGGGAACTAAGTGTTGTCTTTGGTTTTAGGGATAATTATTTATAAGTAACGATGAAGTTCTGCAAGAAATATCAAGAGTACATGCAAGGACAAGAGAAGAAACTACCTGGGGTTGGTTTCAAGAAGCTTAAGAAAATTTTGAAGAAGTGTAGGAGGGATTTTCAATCCAAGAAAGACGTTAATGGGGTTCTTGATCACATCCAAACTTGTCCTCAGCATTGTACAGGTATATGTTGATCAGACATAAATGTTTCTGAAAAAAAATATATATATATATATTTTTTTTCCTTCTGATGATTTTTCTGGTTAAACTTTCCTTTTTGTTCTCTGGGTTCTTTTCTTTTTTTTGTGTACTTTTGCGGTTTTAAAATCCAGGAGATAATGGTGGCCGGCCTTAGTTTCTTAAATATGCCTCTTGAACATATATTTGCTTGATTTCGGGTAGGTATTAACAGCTACCAATGATTTAAGCAAATATAAATTGATACTTTGGAGTAGATGCAGCGTTGACAACGTTAACCAGTTATATTGGAGTTATGGTCGTAAGCAAATATAAAGAAAAAATAAATCAGGGAGGATACTATTGTGTCTTCTTATCTTTTATCTTTTCATACTTCTCATGTTTTTTTTATTCCCTTCTTGATTTTTTTCCTTTCTGATCTGGGTATAGTATTTCTTTGAGCTTTAAATTGGTGATTTGAAGTGGATTCCTTAAAAATACAAAGGAGAAAGGTTTTTTAACCTGCAGAAGCTTGTAATTTCTGCTCTATCTGATTTATCTTTATTCCAGTGTGCGACGGGACCTTCTTCCCTTCCCTTCTCCAAGAAATGTCTGATGTAGTAGGCTGCTTCAATAAGCGTGCACAGAAATTGCTTGAACTGCATCTGGCTTCTGGCTTCAGGAAGTATTTCATTTGGTTCAAAGGCGCTCTGCAAGGAAGCCATGTTGCCTTGATTCAAGAAGGGAAGGACCTGGTTAACTATGCATTGATTAATGCTATCGCAATTCGAAAAATACTCAAGAAATATGATAAGGTATTTTCATCTCTCTGCGGAATTTGCTGTGGCGAAAAAGATTATGTTCCAATTCTGCTTAGCTTTTTTATTTTTTATTTTTTGCTTTCCAATGGATTGCAGGTTCATTACTCCAAACAAGGACAAGCCTTCAGGACACAAGCACAAAGTATGCACATGGAAATTCTTCAATCACCATGGTTATGTGAGCTTATGGCTTTCCATATAAATTTGAGTGAAACCAAGGTCAAATCAGGGAAGACCCCTGCATTATTTGAGGGCTGCTACCTTATATTTAATGATGGCAAACCATTCCTGTCTTGTCAACTCTTTGATTCTGTCAAGCTTGATATTGACTTAACTTGCTCTATATGTTTGGTAAGTGACAGGATTTCAGCTCTTGTCAGCTCTGATAGTGGAGTACTTTGGGTACCATCTATCTATTAATCACAAAAATAATTTGCTCTCAAACAAAAAAAGTGTAGTAACTAGTAAAACACATCACAGATATTACAAAGCAAGTTTTAGAATATGATTTTACAGTTTCATAAGTGAAAATAATTGTCAAAATTTGTTACTTTATCTAGCGGAAAATAAAAAGTACAGAAAATTTTTATTATAAAACTGTTTAGCTTTATTAGCTGCTAATTGGACTCCACTGATTTAAGACATTTCATTTTCTTTCTTAATGTTACAGGATACGGTATTTGATCCAGTATCCCTCACTTGTGGACATATATTCTGCTACATGTGCGCTTGTTCAGCTGCGTCTGTGACCATTGTTGATGGACTGAAATCAGCAGCGCCAAAAGAAAAGTGTCCTTTATGTCGAGAGGTGAGTATCTATGCCCCATAATTGACTTTTGCTCTAATTTTCCTTCTGTGCTTATTCATTCTTTGGATAAACGGCTTTCCTTTTCATAACAGAGAACTAAGTAGCATGCATGTAATTCAATCTCATCAGGTGAACGAACGCTTTGTGTAAACTAAAGACTAATTTTCCATCTGTTTTTGTTCATTCTTTGGATGCATGCACTGTGCAGCTATTAGCAGTTTAGCAACCTGAACCCATAGAAGTAAGTCAACATCGTTACCATCAAAAGTAATTATTCTTCATTTTTGTGATTTACTTTTTTCCTGACTTCAGGCAGGAGTTTATGAAGGTGCTGTACATTTGGATGAGCTTAGTATACTATTAAGGAGAAGGTACATTCCTATTGTTCTACTATTGACCCCTTTCTTTCTTTAATCAGTTCAATGATTTTTTAACTAGGTTTCATTTTTTCAAATATAATTTTTTTTTTGGAGTGAAGAGTGACAAATAAATGAATACGTACCAATATGTGCTGCCAGTTGCAGTATGCTAGTGCTTTTGCACCCAATATTCAGGTTTTTACTCGGATCATGCATTTTTTTTGGACAGCTGTCGTGAATACTGGGAGCAGCGACTTCAGACAGAAAGAGTGGAGAGAATCAGGCAGGCAAAGGAACACTGGGAATCCCAGTGTCGGGCATTTATTGGTGTCTGATTATCAGTTGTTTCTTTTCCCCTGTAATATATTCCAAGTGTTCTAATTCCTAGGGCAAATCATTATTCAATAACATTTGCTACCATGTATTTGACTTAATGGCATGATGTATATCTGCTCACAATTTCCAAATAATGAAGATAATTTCTTGAAATGGACTATTACCTCGGAGATGGATGAATCTGTTGATTACCTCCCTATCTAGGGATTTTGCATGATCACCACTTTCAAGGGATTACTTAGCAGATAAGATGGGCGTTGCTGGGATCACTTTCACAAATCTTTCCAATTTCCAGTTGGCACTTCTGTTTCCTTTCTGTTATTTCCTTTTTGCGCTACTATTGGATTTGCAGGTTCAGCAATTTCATCTCAAGATACATAACGCAGACAGAAATGCACTTGCAAGAAAAAGCAGGAAAATTTACCAATGAAATCTTCTAATGAAAATGAATAATGAATAATTTTGTTTCTTTGCCAAGATAATACAATAATCGAAATTGAAAGTTGAGCAAGGCTACAGGGATCACTGCCTATCCATACAACATCCTGATCATACTACAAATAGAAAATGGAGAAAAGCCATAATTTTTTAAGAGCCCTGAGAGATTGACAAGCAAAAACTTGTCACATTCTCAGCTGAGTAATATCAAAGGATTTTTATCTCCAAACATATGATATCTCTTGCATAGTTTCTCCAGAGCTGCAACCGAGTGCTGCATCTTGTTTAGTTTTGTATCCATGAACATTGCCTGTAAAATAAAGCATTAATCAGGGAAACTAACATCATAAGAATAACTACAAAAACTCCAAATATAAGAATGAAATACCATCCAACCTGGTAGTCATCGCCATATTTCTCAATCAGCCGACCTACATGAAGACGTTGCATAGTAGTCAATGGTTGTAAATGTGTGCTTTTTCCATCTCTTCGCTTCTTCCCCAATGCTGTTTTTAAGTCTATATAGGCAAAATTATGGTATGTTAAACGTCAATAGAGAAGGTTAAAAAGGTAATGCAACTTCTGTTTTTCAAAGAGTGAAAGTTCTAAATGATACCACAAAGCGTTTCTATGAAGCAACTGAGAGAAACTTACAATTTCGTAATAGCATTTAATTCATGGGTTAACTTTGTTCATCTAAAGGAATCATTTTTTATTCACCCAAATACTCTCAAACCTAAATAGACCTCAAAGTTGAAAGGCAGAAACAGTAGAGAAGTGAAGAGGGGCAAAACTGACCATCCTCTTCGAGATCGCTGCCGGAATCAATGGGCTCGAATTCATCGGCGGGTCGATCGGAAGGCGGAGGCTGAGGGACTTGGAGGGAATCGCTTTCCACGATGTGAGAAGTACGATAACGGACGCCGAGGAAATTAGGGTTGGAAACGACGCCGAAGGATTTGTAGTTTTGAATGACGCTGGCTTTGTCGTCCCACTTGGAGTGGGCATCGTCGACCTCGACGAGGGAGCGGAGCTTCGGAGGGAGAGTGAAGGATTGCTTGAAGACGTGAGGATTTTTTCTCGGAAGACCCACTTTCACCTTCGCACGAGATTGCTTGTATTTCCTTCTCGACCTCCCCATCGGATCCTTATTGCTTCTTTTTTTTCTAGAAATTGTTGGCTAGGGTTTTTGCAGTGGTTTTGATCGACAATATTGTCTCATTTTCAACCCGTGAGTAGTTCCGAACGATGTCGTTTCATGAGGGGAGAGAAACTGTGGACTCGCTTAATTTGGGCTCATGCCTAAAGGGCTGGGGCTTTTTAAAGCCCAAGCCACTTTGGACTCTAGCATCGCAGACAATAAAAAATAGACCTTAAACCCAAATACAAAACCAGACTTTTGATGGTGATGATTTTGAACCGTCCGATCGTATTCCATCCAAATATCAGAAAAAGAACCAATAGATGCTGATGCGATGAAGATAATAGAGCTTTCCACACGATAGCATTAAAAAATTAAAATGGAAAGTCCTAGAAGGCCATTCTTTACCCACAATATAAAAAGCCAAAGGGCAAAGGAAAAGGAAGGCTGTCCAGCTGCAGATTTTAGTATATTAATATCGGTTGTTGCCTGTTGTGTTTTGTCTAGGGTTTTACATTCTGCAACTTCTTTCCTTCTCTACACTCTACTAACCATGAGGTAAGCTTCGCAATCTTTTTTTTTTTTCTCTTCTTTTTCTTAGATTTTATTTTCATTCCGTATTTCGAATCTTTGCCCTACCCTATCGCAAAAAAACCCGATTTGATTGATATTACGCTTTTGCCATTGTTGTCATTGTTCTTTGTCTGTTTCAACATATGTTTTATGACTTGTTCTTTGAGTGTCTCTGTGTCATGATGATTGTAGATTGATTGTTTTGTTTGTTTTTGCTCTTCTTTGTCTTAAAATTTTATTTGGCAACTTAACAAGGGGGAGAAAATGGAACTTTCTAGATGGTTGAACATTTTTGCTATTGGAAAAAAAGCTTTAGTGGGGGGTTTTGATTAGGTTGTCTATCTGGGATTGTTTGGTTGGTAATTGTTTGGTTTTGGGTATTTTTTGCTTTTCAATTGTGATTTATTAGTTATGGTTAAAATCTTCTTTTTTTTTTTTTTTTTCAGTCGTCATCCCGAGATTAAGTGGGCTGAAAGAGCCGACAAGGTTTACCTTACGGTGCTATTACCTGATTCGAAGAATGCAAAGGTCAATCTTGAACCAGAGGGAGTCTTTACTTTCTCTGCTACTGCTGGAGCAGATAACAACCTATATGAGGTGAAGTTGGATCTTCATGATAAGGTCATTGTGGAGGTAGGATACTGCTCTAGTAATTATTGAGAATCAACAATACATTTGTCTCATTTTTTATGGATATTTGAGAGTCTAGGGTGTCGATGATGATGGATGATGATGATCAATGGATGCTAGTATAATGCTGCTGATTGGGTAGCTTTCAAATGAATTTTGAATATTTGTTAGCTAGCCCGTAGCCCCCCAGTGTTATATTTTAAGGGCTCACTTCTGAAAGCTGCTAGATTTTGTAAACTCAGTTTTCAGGTGTATTAAATTAGATTTAGATTATATGTGTTCCAACTATCTTTTAGATTTTTAACACATATGCTTGTCGTTTCTAACTCTTTATTCTTCCTGGGCCTTTTCATAATGTTGCCTATTTGTATGCGGTATTTGCTACCACAAAATGCCCTTGATGTATGCATGTGTTACGATAAACATTCTGCCTTCCTAACCCTTGTTAATTCTGATATTGATTTCTAAGCAATTTGTCTTCTGAAAAATTTTCTTACTGTTTTTTTTGGAAAAAAGGAAAGCAAAATTAACATAGGAGTCAGGAGCATATTCTGTATCTTGGAGAAGGCTGAGAAAGTGTGGTGGAAAAAATTATTGCGTGGGGGTGGTAAGATCCCTCATTATATCAAAGTGGACTGGGACAAATGGGTGGATGAAGATGAAGACAATGGTGGTAAGTATTGTGATTATTGATGTTTCTCTGTTCAGATTGCATTGATGTAAAGGCTGATTCATTTTAAGCTGAGAATTTATTAATTGCTACTTATTTTGATTAGGTCCTGGTGATATTGACTTGGGAGGAATGGACTTCTCGGTATGGATATATAAGATTTTATCTACAATTTCTATTTGCAGCATTAACTTATGAACATTCCTTTCTGACCTAATAATTGTGGTGTGTAGAAATTTGGTGACATGGGAGGCATGGGCAGTGGTGACATGGGTGACTTTGAAGACAGTGATGAAGAAGGTAAGAATGCTGCGAGACTTTATATGAGTAATTTTTTTTTTTTTTTGCCTGTGATTACCTTTTCTCTTTACTGGTTCATTGGTTGTTGGCTAATCTGATATTCATCCATTGCAGAGGAAGAAGTGACCAAGCCAGCAGAGGAAGACACTAACAAGGCTGAAGGAGATGCAAAGCCAGAGGAGCTAGGTGGTGGAACTTCAGAGAAAAAAGAAGCTGCTACAAGCACATGATATCTTGTTAGCTGAAGATATCAAATTCTGTCAACCTATAGTTGTGCGTCATACTTTTTTGGTCTCTTTGATGGGATCAAAGTGTGCTGGTTTTTCTGTGTGAGATTAAACTTTGCGTAATCCGGCAAGATATATGTTTATGTCCAATGGGCAGGCAATTATCTCTTTGACTTGAATTAAGCTGTTGTGGTTGTTGTACCTTCAAATGGGGTTTTCTGGATTTCATCCTTGATTGGGTCTTAAAATGTTATAATGACATCTACTTCAATCTAATTATTCTCTTTATGTACCAACTGGGAAGAGAGGATCACCATTCACCAATTTCTATTATGATGAATATAATCAAAGTTGGATCGTTGAACGAGGTTCACTTCCAAATCTAGCTGTTAGACTAATTTTGAGAGTCAATTTCGGGTTTTAACTTGGAAATGATGATACCAAGATTAATAATTTTGATTTTTCTTGATCAAATATTGTTGTCAGTAGAACTACAGCCGAATTTGATGCTCAACGACGTGACAAACAATGATTGGTTGCTAGAAGCCAGTTTCGGCCAACCTGACCTTTTATAGTCGACCGTCTAAAACCCTGAATTCGTTATGCCTATGCGCCCCTCCAAAGTTTTGACCCGTCACCGTGAAACTTTACTCACCAATGACCGGTCAATATTTTGGAGAATGCAAAGTGACACTCCTCTACTATCAATCATCTCTCTTTCTCTGGTACTTCTGCTCCTCATGTTTTACACTCTTGCTCCTATGATGGAACCATCAGAGCGTGGGATACCAGAACTTTTCACCAGGTATTTCATAGATCAGCCTGTATTTTTTTTTCCCTATACCAATTATGGAATGGACCCTCCTTTTCTTTTTGTATCAATTTGTTTGATGATTTATGTTGTAGGTTTCGTCTATAACTGCTGGTTCTTCTCAAGAGGTCTTTAGCTTCTAGTTTGGAGGGTTAGGTGATAATCTTTTGTCTGCAGGATGTCAATCCCAGGTTTATTAATCTTTCTATCGTGGCTTTTATCACATTTGATAGTTATAAAGGTTTCCCCGTTTAGATTAGCATCTAATTTTGGTCTAGTTTTGAATTAAAACAGATGTTCTAACTGTAGTCAATATGCTTTTCCTTTGCGGGATAAGTTGTTGGGCACAACTGCTTCTGACAGTGTCTCAATTTTCTTGCTTGTTGGCTGTTTCAAAAACACATTTTTCTGGGATTGTAGGAACAAGAAGCAAGTTGCATGCTTGGAGGAATCCCATGTGGAGGATGTTACTTAGGTTAGTCTTGGCCCCTTTACAATCTGTCTGTCTAATTTGAGGTCAACGAGTTTACTTACGTCCCAAATTTTGTGGCTAATTCTATTGCTTGCTTAATATCCCATAAGCATGCTTGGCTTACTGAAGCTTAATGTAGATAAAAAAACTTCATGCTTCAGCAATAAACTAGTTAAGGTTGGGATTTTATTGGTTGAATCATGTAGCTTATTGTCACTCTTGGTGTTTGTCCTTATTGTTGATAGGTTCATTTCATCCCTGGCATTCAAAACAAACTAGATTCTGCTTCTGCTGATGGATTGATATGCATATTTGATACCAATGGAGATATTAATGATGATGATCATCTTGAATCTGTAAGTGCAGGCATATGGTTTTTATTTTATTTTGTTTAGTGACTGGTCACCAGTGGATATCCCTCCCTCATCTTTTAGAACTGTGAGGACAGGTTTCTTCTTAGGTCCCTGATCCAACCACGAAAAAATTTAATTAAGTTAGATGGTAATTTGTTAGTGTATTGTTATCCATAAATAAATGAAACTTTTTTGCGTGTTGGAGTTGTTGAAGAGTAGTGTATAATTGCAAAGTCCTGTAATTTCAGCAAAGAAAGGGTGGACTATTATTACATACAGCTGATTGGCCTGTCAAGCAATCTGTTAACTCATCCTATGAATTAATTGTAGTATAGCCTTCTATGAATACTTCTTATAAATGATTTCCTAGTTCCTGCCTGTTCGTTTTCAAACGAATCTCCCTTCAGTCCATACGCTCTACACATAAAAGTGAAGTTCTTTTACCAATAAAAGTCTCATTGCGATGCTCGTAACCTTAGAATTTAATACTTTTTTGCTTGACTTGCTGTTTAGAGAATTGATAGTTTCTTTTTGACAAATTCCTGCCACTGGTTTGATGAGTTTCATATCAGAATCTGATTTATCCTTTTATCACTATTTCAAGTTATTAATGTGGGAACTTCAATTGGGAAAGTTGGTCTTTTTGGGAACTCTTCCAAGAAGCTCTGGTGTTTGACAAACATTGAGACCTTAAGGTATGATTATCCTTGATCCATTAATCATGAAGACTTGTTTTCTGAGTTTTGAAAATATTGGGAGATGGTATCTGCTATGTCCATTTGTTTAGAACGGGTGAATTAAGACCTAATTTTACTTCCTTAGAATACTTGGAATAGAAAATACAGAACTACCCTAAAAATGACATCCCATTCAAAGAATACAAGCAGATTGTCCGTCTTACATTCCAACTAAACCGTCAGTTTAGTAGTTAAAATTTTGACAACCCTGCTCCAAAATATCTTAACTAAACAAATTTTATCCAGAAGTTGTGCTTAATGAATCGTTATTTTACTACCCTTGTCGTGTATGGAACAGGAAGGACGGAAGAAAAGAAGCAAACATTGAGGAAGCTTGTTCATTAGCATCAGACGGTTATTGGATCATGCAAGTACAAAAAATAGTTGAACTTGTTTTTCTGCTTTCTGAAGTTACAAGTCATTTTAGAAGTTAAAAATTGGATCTTTTGCTCATTTTCAACAATTAATCTTTTATCAAAGAAGTCCCATTGGAAAGTTTGCCTTCCTGTATTTGCAGGTTGATTATTTTGGTGATTGTCACTGACAAAATTTATGGGTGATTGGTGGGACTAATGCTGGGTCTCTAGGTTAATTCCCGCTTAAGTATAAAGGAGCAGCAGCGATAGGACCGGCTGAAGCAGTTCTTTTGGGGGGGGGGGGGGGCGCTCATCTGTGTGTTAGGAGTATATTGCCTATGTCAAGCATGCAGAGTCGGCCTGCTCAAAGTCTAGGCATTTTTGGATGGACTGGCGGTGAGGATGGTCGTTTGTGTTGTTGGATGGCTGATGGTTCACCAGAGAAAAATCGATCCTGGATCTCAAAGTGCATTGGTCGTTAAGTCACCACGAACTCGCAAAAAGAGTAGGCATCATCCCTTCTAAATATCTACTGGTCAGCCATGCATTGCTTTGTCATCTAATAGCTTTATTGTAACTTTTCTTTTCCCTAAAAAATTTCCCAGGTCCGTAGAAAGTGTTGTTAATTAACCGTACAATTATGTAAGGAAAAGTAAATTTTGTACTGTTTAAAACAATTGTTTCAATTCCTTTTGGAGTTCAATACTTTGGAACCTATCTCTCCCAAACATGCGGTCTATCATAAGTTTGGAGCTCTGCAACTAACATTTCCAGAAGACAAATAAATTCATTCCAACAAGCAGTCAGGTAAGCTCAACAAGCAGTCAGAGGGATAATCATTTAACCTTAACGCATAAATTTAACAGTAAATTGTCTTACAAGCTAGAACCTCAACAAGATAAAAGGGCGAGAAGGTAAAATGAGAAAACACAACACAAGATCTTAATTTTGTTCTGCAATGCCACCTAACATTTGGCACTTAACGCGATCACTCTGATAGAATTAACTCAACGGAAGAACCCAACTTGACTCAATTGGATGCAACCTGCTTCTAAAAATAGCAACATCGCCCCAAAATGAAGCAGCAGCATCACATCAACCTCGACCTCGGCCACCACCTGCCACCAGAACGAAAAAGCCCGTTAGTCTGAACTTTTAAATGTTACACCACCAATGACAGATGATTCAATCTGCTAAACTACAAAACCATTTTGTTGAGTATTTCAATGCCAGCACACACTCTTGTACAGCCATTTTTCAGCAAATTTACCTCTGGTTCCACTAGTCTTTCCACCTGAACCACCCCTGCCTCGGCCTCCACCTGCACCCTTGGCACCATCATCTAGCCCACGCCCAACTCCTTTTGGTAGCCTTCCACCAGGACCATCTTCTCTACCCCTACCTCTGCCACGGCCTACACCAGGAGGCCTTCTATCTGAAAAGGTCAGCAAAATCAAACAGCCAGGTTAAGAACTTCAGTTTTCAAATGTATAAATCTCAAATGTAATCAACAGAATCAACCTCAAGGGAAAGTTTTGATACAGTTGGCACCCAGTATACAGCTATAAGCTATAACAGAAAACAAAAGAAAAGAAAAAAGGGGGGGGGGGGAGGGGAAGCTGGAAGAAGAATTCTATGAAGCAGACACAAACAAACAAACAAAAAAAAAAGGAAACACAATAGACCATGTACATAGGAAAATTACGTTACTTTCAGCATAAAATTATTTATCCAAGCACAATTTAAACTGCAACATACACCTAGAGGATATAGTATATATCGTTGCAATGCATCTTTTCAGAGAAACATGCTACTTGTACCTCAAATGTTTCTACTTAAATTGAATATTAAGATAATGATCCATCCCTTTTACTAGCTAGCAAGAGAATTAAATCATACCTGCACGACTCTTTGTTTCTTCCTGAACTTTATCAATTACCTGAAATTCAATGGTTAAGTTATTAAGATTTGTAGATTGGTGAAATATGCTAGTATAATGGTTAAAGGACAGCAGAAGAAAATTATAATAAAAACCAAGCAACAATATTTATGTGGACCCTAAAACTTTTGCAGGTGGAACACAAAGGTGATCAAGTAAGAAAACTTAAAATTTGTCTTTTTTTACAAATGGCAAACGTTTTCGAGAAAAAACCATTACCAGTTAGCTGGTAAAAAAAATTACTCCTTTTAGCACCATAAGCTTCTTCAACAAATAATAATAATAATAATAATAATAAGCTAAAAATCCACTCTATGCTTTCATGAAGCGAGCTAAGAATCAAGCATTTATAAAATTTAAGAGTGAATGAATTAAAAACGTGATAAATACTCTTAACTACCCAAAGGAAAGAAACTAAACAACAGATTATACAAGGAGTAAAGGTACCTCATCAGGAACTCGAAGATATTTGATTGTATTTCCACGGATATAGCATTCGGGCATTCGCCAAAACCTGTCTCCATCCTACAACATGTTTTCAATCAAACCCCAACCATAATTTAAAAAAAAAAATTCTTACTTTTATTCTTTGAAAGAAATAAAATGAAATAAGAAACATTGAATGAATTTATATTTGTACCTTTGAAGTACAGATAACCTCGCGGAGATGGATGTTCATCCAAGTGTCACAATTGACCAAATGTCCATTATAAGTCTCCCCATTTTTCAGTTCCACCAGCTTTTAGCAAACAGAAAAAAAAAATCACAAAGTTGTTTCAAAAATCAATAACTGAAGCAAACGTTTTGCACGGTAAGTTGAGAAGAGGCATGCAAGGGAAAGTAAGATCTTACCATAGGATGGCCCTGCGCAGTTTTAAGTAGAGAAAGAGGAAGCTGCCCAAGTTTACATATAGATAAAAGAGGGTTAGCCAAGGAAAAAAAAAAAAAAAAAACCTTAAAAGAAACTGCAAGTAACCCAAAACCGCTTTGACAGCATACAAAAAGTTGCTTTCTTCTTTCTTTTCCAAATTTCCCCAATTAACAGACAAATAAAGGTAAATTTAAGAGAGTAACATACCATTTTTTTTTTTTTGAAAACGTAGAAACCTAGCGAAGAACCAAAAAAAGAAACCTGCAAGAAAAAAAAAAGGAAAAATAGAAAAAGTCAAGTACAATATCGAAAAAAGGAATTAAAAACCTAGGAATTGGAATCCTAATTACAGTATAACCATTAAGCTTAAAGTCTAAACCCTAGCACAGTCGATTAAAGCATCGTTTTTTCGTAGAAAAAAAAGGTAATCAATCGGCCTAAAACCCTAACAGAAAAGCAAAAGGAATCGAAAATACCAACAAGAGAAGAAGAGAGTTGAGGAGAGACACAGACAACTTTTAGGCGTAATTCGATCTCACTATTTTTTTATGGTTGATGAATCCGACCTCACTAACTGATTAAATATAGAGTTTGCCTTGAGGGATCCAGGCGGGCTTTTGTATAGCCCGTACTTCTTTTTATTTATATTACATTTGAACGCTTTTATCTTTAAACTTTAATAAACAACGTGACGTGAGCAAGCAAGGTAGTTTTTTATTATTTATTTTTATATATTGCACTTATAAATCTTTTTTATATATTATTATTATTTTATGTATTTTAAGAAAAATAAAAAAATTTATTTTCATAAACCATTACTTTACATGAATATTTAAAAAGATTAATTTTTTAAAAATAAAATAATCTTTTAACGAGACTTTTAAAAGAATAATTATAAGATAATTGACAAAATGACCTCGTTATCTTATTAATTAAAAATTTTTGAGTGAAATGTCCTTTTTTTTAAATTAATAAACTTGAGTTAAATTATATTTAAAACTTAAAGATCTAGATGAAATTTATCCAAAACTGAAAGTTATAGAATTTAGAAAATTAGACTGAAAGTCCAGCGACAAGAAATCATTTTTAAAACCGGCCAATTTTTGCCACCATGGTTCTTAAAAGCTTGTTTTGGTCCCAAGATCAGAATTAAATATTTTACTCTTCTTTGGAACGACATTACTTGAAAACAATAAAGACACAAGGTTTCCTTCTCTGTAGTATGCACATTTCCAGCTCTGTCACTAGCGGACATCTATCAAGTCTTGAAGGAATGAAATGAAACTATATTAATATACAGAATAAGTTAAGGAGAGGAGCAAGCTGCAAACCCACATGCAACGAAGATCCATCTGCTTGTGTCATTTTCATCTGGTCCTTTGCTTAAGGCTGTCAGGTCTACCAAATGTTGCATTGTTGGCCGCCCATGTGGCAATTCCAGGGAGATTTCAAGTCTGCTAAATGCTCAAGTATCTGGGAAAATAACTTAGAACTTGAGATGCAATTTTTTTGTAACCATTATTATGTCACTCGGTAATTATAACTAATAAAGGCATTTTTAATAAACACCATGACATCAGAAAATGTGTATTAGCCTTCAGCAACAAAGAAATTGCTGTCAAATGATCATGCCTCAATTGTAGGGCTAGGAATTGGGTAAAAAATCCATGCTCCATCAAGGGGAGGGACACAGATCCAGAAACTGTATTTAAAGCCTATATATGACAGCAAGAAGGATGTATGCATTTATAAAATGTCATGCTTCACTATGAGAAAAAAAATTCAGGTCAACGCAGGCTAAGGTCATTACCTTCTACATTTCATTTCGTCCAAGTGGATCTCCAATCATAACAGATGATCTGCAAGCACAAGATGCCAAAATTGCATGAACTCCAGTTGGGCAAACAGAATCAGACGTGTCTACTTTGTAACTACTGATCATTGAGCATTCTCCTTAATTATCAGCAAGAGTAGAAATCAAATCCTTGACATCTGTTTCTAGAGATACCATTAATCAATATGCAGTGCAGAGTGTTGACAATCTCTTCAACTTCGATATGCCTTTACTTTGGATAAAAACATCATTACACTGCAAGAAACAATAGTCTGTAATAAAGATTAATCAGGTGCATATTCTCAGGACAGGCAAAATTATAGAACATGTTTATAAAATGTCAATCATTTTTTTCAGATTTTAAATTGACTCCAAGAGAATTAGTACTCAGGCAGGATGCCTCTCTTTTTCAGATGCACAGTTTTTATGTGTATCAGCATGTGGTAACCAAGTGTGTGGTGAGTCTAAAAAATGCCACACCTAGTCAGATCTATTCACACACATTGGCATGGCATACACTTATTATTCTGTTCCTACCATCTTGATATCAATTTTTCTTCCTTAAATTGCCATGTTCATATTTACATCTTATATCACGTCCATATCCAAGTCAATTAGTTGTAAGTCAAATAGCATATCAATAAATTTTAATGCCATATAAGTAGTTAGCCTAGATACTGTAAAGGGGTAAATTTGCCTGAATAAAGAACAATGATCGGTTAAACACTTAGGACCACTGAAAAGGAGGACTACCTTCAACTCCAAAAGTAATGTTTTTGCCCCTGGTGGAGCATGTGGATCTTCTTCCAAAACAAACCCATTTTTCCTGAAAATACAAGATAAAAATTCAGAAAGCACCATCATAAGATTTACTTCAGAGATGTCATATGTAAATTGAAGTTTCAAAGGATTCAGAAAGAAATAATAAATGAATGAAAGGAACCAAATGCAATAGAAAATTGAACCTGATTAGGTCCATATGCATTGAAGCAATTACTTCTTCAGGAGATAGCTCCAATATCAGTGGCCTCGACATAGTTAGAAGTCAAGTTCAGAATACAATTCTCACTGGAAATAAAAATATCTCCATAAGCAGAAAAATAATAGGAAAATAAATGGAAACAAAACAGCTAAAGTCTTGGACTACCAATCCAAAATGATAAATGTTATTTAGTTCAACACCTTGCCACTTTTGTGTTCCATACTTTCCTAATCCAATTAAATCGACCAGTATAAATGATGCTTTAAAGCAATGACAAGAATAATATCGTAGACATACAAGTTTCCACCCCTTGAATGAAAAGCTTGGAAGCTAGAAACATTCAAATTTCTAGCAGATGATGAATTTAAGCATGTTTATTTTGTAGGTTTTGCCTATACTTCACCAAAAATTTGGTCAGAAGCTTCGGAAGAGAGGATAGCTTGATGTGTGCTTCAGAAGACACATGATGGTATCCAATCAGTCAATATCTCAAATACAGTTCACCTAATTGACAGGCTACAATTACAGGATAACCAGACAGCAATAAAACAGCAAATGGAACCATTTGGACAACATTGCAGCAATTCGTTACTGCTGCCAACCTCAAATCTTTTTGAAATGGCCACATCATCAACAAGTCCTCAGTTAACAACCTTTTACATTGCAAAAAACTTGGAACCAAACTGAGGAAGATGCCAAATAGACCCCCTTTACAACTTGGGGGAACTGGGAACTTATCTCAACTGAAAATTTGTGGAGTGGAACAGTAATTTTCCTCTACCATCAATATTACATACAAGTGAAACAATGATATTACCACACCATGAATATCATCTTCATGATTCAAATTCGATGTCCAAGTTTACAATGGTATGGAAAAATAAAATTGTAAAAAAATCATGAAGGACATAGAGATGGTACAGTTTTTATTTGAAAATTGTCACAATCAAATGAAACAGAAAAATAACTCAAAGACATAAGAATCAGAGAGGATCAATGCCATCTAGGTTTAGAACAAGTGAAATCTTCAGCCTGAGCTAGTTGTGGCAACCAGAAATACAAAGCCGCTACAACTTCTCAAGGGAAATGATCCAAATAAGATCACAATCAGATTGCACTATCACTTTCTCTGCTGTAACTATATTCAATGTGCTTACTAAACCACCATATCTCATCTCTGTTTTATCTGGAATGAGCCAGCTCTAGAAGAAAATGGGAGAAAATTAGACAGAGGGAGAGATGAGAGTATGAAATAGATACAGCATTAGGGCCGTCACTGTTATAGTTTTACAGCCAAGCTAAATAAAAAGGAATGATTCCATATGCTAGCAAGTAAGATAATAAAAAGTAATATACATGTGAATACCACATAATAGATAGATATAAATGCAGCATTAAAACATCAAAGCGCCTAATGTTATCACGTCGCTTAAAAAAACCAACAAGAAAGCATTTTTCCGGATAACTTAGAACAAAAAAATCAATTTAGAAACTCAATTCACCGAAATGATCCTAAAAAATTTTGATAATGGAAAGAAGCTATGTTCTAACAATTCATCGATTGCTTGGACCAAATTTTGATCAAATTCAAAGGTTTTAACTAATACAAGAATATAAACCACATGATTTAGATAAAAGGAAATAAACTGATTCCAACTAAAGTCCGTCGAACAACTTATATAAGAGGAATAAAACAAAAACAAAACCGAAGCGTCAAAGTATATAACTAAAAGAGAAGAAAAGAAACTTGCGTCGAACATCGGAGGCATCTTCCTGAGGAAACAACAGAGGCATTTCATCGTACACTAGGTTGGCGCCACCGTCAGCACATAGGCGAAGCTGAGCTACTCTAAACCCAAAAAAAAAAAAAAAAAAGAAAAAGCAATATTTAAAGTAATAGACGGCAAACACAAAATAACAAGTAATAAAAAACCGAAAGTGAGGATGCAGGATAAGTACCGTGCTTCCAAAGCAGAGGAGTGAATCTGGGGATGTTTTGGTTGAGAACGACTAGAGCGTACGTCAGAGAAGGGCTGTGGCAGTGGGGATTTGTGGGGAGAAAACTCCAAGAATGGTGGCTGCTTTTTCCTTCGGTAGTGAGAGTCAGTCAGACCCTTATTCACAAAAAGTACAACCTTATCATATACGATCATAATTCATAATAAATACTACTACTCCACTTGTCCAATCAGAATAAGCTGTCAATGCCAATGCGAATGCCCAAAGGCAAGGGGGGGCATACAAAGTTCTTCATCCTCCAACTACTACAATGTGTTCTAGTCCAACAACACAAGTTGTCTCCCTGATACAGTCAAAAATCAGAACCAATTCCATCCTAATTTTGGATGCTCACCTGTTTTGTGTTTTTGCCTAATCATCTCTCTCTAAATATAATATATGTATACATACATACGGTTAGATGCGACAATTTCCTTTTCAAACTTTAATCCAACAATTGTGAAAAAAGTTAAAGGACCATTTTAGATTTTTTTTTTTCTTTTTTTGCCGAAAAAAACCCTTTTCGAATTGGGAAAATGTTTTTTTTTTCTTTTTCCATTTTCTCTTTTGTTCCAAATAAAATAGTACTAGATTTTGATAGCCCTTACTTTTTCCAAGACTTTGTCAGGGTTTAGGGGGATTTTGTTTTATTTTGGCAAAAGGATAAAAATAAAAACCTCAAATAAAAATTAAAAATTAAATTAAATCTTGAAATATATGGAATCTTTTAACATCTATTTTTATCTTCTTAAATCTCTATGCATTTATTTTTCACTAAATTAATCCTTTGATTGGAAAAATTTTTACTCGAATAAAAGTTCAATCACTGAAAATAAATGTTTAACGATTTTATTAAAAAATAAAGGCTTAAATGGTTAGTAAATTTTAATTCAGAAACTTAGTTATCCTTTTGCCTTCTATCTTTTTACTTTTTATAAAATGCTAGACGCACAGAATCAAGTTTGTCTAAATTCTACCCAATTTAGTGTCACTGTCATAGGAATCAACAGATTCAATAACAATGCATAGTAGTAATAAACTTTAATCCATTTCTCATAACCAACGAATCATATCCATCCAACACGGCAGTTTCAGCACATCCCACTCAACCTGTACTCACCAATCACAATCAGCACACGATTGAAAAAGTAAAACAACAATAAAGCGCAGCTCAAAATATACCTAGTAATTATCAACCCAATCATTTCCAGATCCTCAAGTATCAAGAACCCAATAAAAGAAAACAAGAAAAAATAATACAACACAACAAGATAATGTCCCATTTTGCAACCTACTATAAAAAAGTTCATGAGCATTCCTTACAAACCCCAACCCTACATCAGCCTCCACCCCCCAAATAGAAAAAGAAAAAATAAAATAAAATAAAAAGGTAGCCGGGTGCTAACCTCGCACGAAAAGGGGTATTTATTTCGTTTCAAATGGATGACATGATGGTGAACAAATTACAAAGAAAAGAATAATTTTGATCAATTTGCTACTTGTATGTACAGGCGAAGGACATGGTGCCACGGATAGAGGAAATAGGCATGGTATTAGGGGAATGGAAATTGCTTTTAATAAAGTTAACCTGCTTGATAGATATTGTAAAATTGCTAACAGAAAGACTGAAATTTTCAAAAACCTATATGCTATAGTACAAGGAAGCCGGGACCTGCCATGGAATTCCACAAACAAGTCTCTCAACTTGGCCACCTTTTATGGTGACAACTAAGAATGAAATGGAAAAGGAATGCTATACACAAAGATACCTCATCTACATGAAGTAGCTTAGAGCCTTTTTCTTTCTCGATCCACCCTCTCCATATAAATCATTCCATTGAAGTAGCTCACTCATATTTGTAGACTCTGATGATACACTTGCACATACCTGCATCATAACCAATCAAATACAATAAACTATATATATAGAGCACAGCCTTTTTCAAAGAATATTCCATTAAAAATATGCCAATTTCAGTACTCAAAATCATTCAAATTGACAGATATAATATGTTAATATATGCTCAACGCTCACATACACACCAAGTAAATCAAGGGGAAAATTAAACTTCTGATACTTGAATGGATAATCCAAAATTGAAAGCTCTAAAATATAATTATTAAGACCAAGTATGGTACCTGCTCATGTGCGTATTTAAAATCATCCATCTTCAGAAAACGAATGTCAGCACTGCTATACAAGGAAGGTGGAGGTCTATTCTCAGCCACCGCCAAAGCTCTCTCCTGAAATTGCATGTCATATATCAGTCTGTACTCTTGTACAAGTAATAAACTTTCATGTCAAAAGGTATGCAGTATATCATAAAAAGGGTACAATTATCTGTCCAAAACCCATCAAAGTATCAATTCCTTTGAATCCTCGTATGTAGTGGAAGGATTCCTTAATTAAAATTGTAGATGCAATTACATTTGAATTAGAACTTACTCTTTTTACTTAAAAAAGATATAATTCTTAAACAACATAATAAGAGATCCTTTCCTTCTCTTATCATCCCTTAACCCACAAGATGGGTAATATCAAAAATTAGCACACAAAGAAAATCCAGCTATTAGCAAAAACATATTTTATCATCTTCTTGGCCTATGTGAACAAGGTAGTCAAGCACCCACACCATACAACACTTGCATAGATAAAGACTCATAAAAAAAATGTAACTACTAGACACCATTATAAAAAGAACACCTACATGACTGATCCACCGCTTTTTAGCACCATTTGCAAAACCAACATAGTTTATATGCCAGTAGCCGCAAATTTATCATAGAACATATAAACTAAAATATCAAACTGACCTTCTTTTCCATTTCCAAAATTTCTCGTATGGGACAATGTGCAGCAGTCACACAAAGGTTCTGCAATCAGACAATTTTATTAGGGAAATAAACATAGATAAAAGATAAAGCCACTTAACCTATTAAAAAGCTTCAACTTGACTTTGTATAAAATTTACAAGATGACTCAGTTAACAGGAAGGGGGAAGCCTTGCTAATAACCTTGACGAGTTAAAATTTTATATTGAGGAAAAACAAAGTTCAAAACTAGTTTATGCCAGAACTATTGCCAGTCTAGTACAGATGAAAACTCATTACGAATCAATATTTAGCTAGAAGAGAAAATGACCAGGCTTGTTCAATTTAGTATTAGCATGTGAGTTGCAGCTTCCCTACTTTCCTACTTTGGTTCACTACACCATTTTACATTTTCAAATAAGACAATAAAATCAAGTAAAAAGGTGGAAAAATCAACCTTCAGATCACTTCCAGAATATCCATCACTCATATTTGCAATAGCTTCCAAATCAACATTAGGTGACAATTCCTCTTTGGCTAATATAACTTTTAGAATCTTTTCTCTATTTGGAGCATCTGGCAAATTAACCATCAATCTGCACAACACTCAACAGGGAAGTCAGTGGTGCTTATATCTTAAGGTCCGATTACAGCAACTCACAGAAACAACATAAGCAAGTTACCTTCTAGGAAGCCTCCGGATGACTGCCTCATCAAGGTCAAATGGCCGGTTTGTAGCAGCAAGAACCAACACTCGTTCTTTATCCTTTGTACGAAGACCATCCCAATTGACCATAAATTCATTCTTCATTTTACGCATAGCCTCATGTTCACCCGGATTCTCCCGTCTTCCTAACATGCTGTCAACCTAAAATAACCAGCCAAATCAATAAAACTACATAGATTATTTAAGAAACAGGAAGAAAAATATGAAAACAATAGGGAAAGACAATGACATATCAGCAATAAATCTTTAGAGAGAACAGAAAACACACACAAAAATGAATGAGAAATAGGAGAATTTACATATAAGTTGAACAAACCTCATCAACAAAAACAACACTAGGTGCAATTTTACTCGCCAGAGAGAAAACGGCTTTAACATACTTCTCTCCTTCACCAAACCACTGCAAGATATACAAATAAGTCATATACATAAATCAAAACGAAATTTTATCTAACAGAAAGGGTACATGCCACAGATTCTATGCACTTAAAATACCTTTGAGGTAATGCTAGACATTGATATGTTAATAAAGTTTGCACCAGCTTCAGTTGCAACAGCCTTGGCAAGCATTGTTTTTCCAGTACCAGGAGGCCCAAACAGCAATATTCCTTTACAGGGCTGCAAAACGATAACTTAAAAAATAATAAAACAGCAGGGTATGCTTTGAAAATGCACAATTCCAAGTAACACATGATAAAGTGAAACTACATATAGAAAAATATGTATAATTGAGTTAACCTTTGTCAACTGTCCCTTGCAAAACAATTCAGGCCTTTGAAGGGGAAGCATCACCAATTCCTTCAAGGTCTCCTTGACATTCTCAAGGGCTCCAATATCATCAAAACTAACCCCAATATCACTTGGCGGAATAACATCCACAAGAAGTTTCTTTTCAAATTCATTCTCGGTAACCACATCCTGAAAATAAAAAAATAATAATAAATAGCATAATGAATTTTTTAACCAGATAGATGATGGACAACTGTATCAGGAGCAATGACTACACATAGAACCCAAGAGAAAGAAGACAACTGTACCTTAAGTGATTTCTTCAAGCTTTTGCTCTCACTTTGAATGCTTTGCAAAATGTTCAGCCCAAATTTGATGCTGAAACAGAAAATTTCACAGAAAAGTTAGAACAAGAATAAATTAGAGAAACTTTTAGTTCATATAGTTCCAGTTCGTCTTTTCACGTTTCAAAGATGCAGGTTGCAATAAATGAAGAGAATATGAAACCTTTCAGTCGAAACTACAAGTTTAGCATCTTTCACGAAAGCTTCTGAAGAATGCATTAAGTGATGACTTAATGCCCAGCCTGCCACTTTTTCCACACCTACGATAATAGAAAAGGTACAAAATTAATAATATTAAAGTAAAAAATAGCACAAGGTTTAACCACTAGCTCCTTTCCAAATGTACAAATCATGTTTTTTGAATTTGAGTATGAAGTATTATACATTTACAACATTTAAAGTAAATGATCAGTTAAATTTTCAAATAATAAAAAAAGGTCCTGAAAATCATTTATGAATGTGTATATATATATATATATATATATATATATATATATAGATATATATAAAGGTAAAAATATTAAAAATTAAGAAAAAGCAATACACACTTGGCATGAAGTACATTATAATAAGAAGCTCAAGGATACTAACTCTCATTTGCAAGGGTTTGATCTTTAATGCAAAGCGTTTCAAGATCAGGGCAATCCAAACCATTTCGATTGAGAACCTGATAGCAATAACTGTTATGCAAATCTCCAAAAACAAACTTGTAACCTCAAATTTTCAAATAAATAAACTGTTTATTAATTTCTAAATATAACAAGGACACAGAAGGCAACTTCTGTCTGTTTGGAAGAGGTAGATGAGGTTGGGGGAAGGGAGAGGTGTATTTTTATTATAACCTCCTTCAGCTTTCTTGTAGTTTCCCATCACATTAGGTTAATTATCCTACACTTGCAACAAGGTTTTACCAAGTTCAGGAAAGTAAGCCACTTTCAGGCAATATGCTTCATAGAAAGAAGCTTCTACTGGCATGCAGAAACAGAAAACGAAAAATTGGAATACACAATGTACAATTATAGCAATACTCACTGAACGAATGCTAATAATGTTTGACTGTGCTTTAAGAGTTTCAATATCACGTTCCAGTTGCTGCTTCCAGTCCAATAGTAAAGCTTCATCCTGACGATTCAGAAATATTAAATTAAATATTTCAATAATCGTAACAGGATAACTGATGCAGAAACTGACATAAACACACCTGAGGCAACTGGATTGTCACTTTGTTAGGGAAAAGCCTAGTAACTTGTTTCATGGTTTTAGGTGTTTCTTTGCTCCTTTCGTGAAGTCTACCAAAATTATCCTGCATAAGGAATGATACTTAATTAGTATGTTATCAGAAATGAGAAAATAAGTGAGAAAAAGAGGCGAATACTAGATTACAATGCACTAACACATGTGAGGACACTCTCTAGGAACAGTCACTTTAAGTAATGAAACCGGAAATGCTACCCATTATAATCGCTTGGTGTAATTGCATCATGTAAAATTCAAGTAAGGAACATCTCTAATATTTTTAGATGGTCCATCAAAATTAGGCAACCCACTCCAACATCTTTCAACGGCAAGAAACATTGGACAAAAACAAAATGTTGGTGCTTGACGTACCGGAAAAGCAAGATCAAGTAAAGCAGTCTGGTTGGCTCCAAACTTTGTGAACAAAAGCCCACCAGGATGAGACTACAGAAACACAAAAATGCCAACATCAAACAGTTAAAAATACTTCATACAGCATCAAAGAAAGAAGCATAGCTAAACAAAAACAGAAAGTTGCTTACTTTTTCCTTACGATTATCCATCTGGGTATGAGAACCAATTACTATAACATTTGCAGGCAGATTTTCAACTTTACTCTTCAAGGAAGTATACACATCCGTATTTCC